GGTACTTGTGTGTGGGAAAATAATACAAAGGTTGACAGTGAAATGACTAATAGTCTTCACTTAGATTAAAATGATTTAGAAATTGTTTCTCAAGGATTTTGAGATACTTCACTGCAAAATGTGATTTCCCAGAAGAAAAATATTTTATTTAATCCATTTTTTTAAGGTCTGGAAAAAGGGGCTCTAACTGTATTTCCCCTTCAGTTTTTCTGTAACTACCTTCCATTCATAAACAGGATATCAGTCAATAGCTAGACAAGAAAGAGAAAGAGATCTTTCTAAAGAAATCTCCATGTCCTTTTCAAAGAACACCAAGAATGATGCTTAGTTTCCTAGCACAAATAAATATTATGACTCCTCTGTGGATTTTTTTTTAAAGTAGGAGTGGTGTGTAAATGGCATAAAGGTCAAGTACAACTAGGTCTATACCTCAAAGACAACCAAAAAAAGGGAAAAGGACCTATTTGTACAAAAATATTTATAGCAGCTCTTTTTGTAGTGACTAAGAATTGGAAATCAAAGGAATGCCCATCAATTGGGGAATGGCTAAACAAGTTGTGGTATATGATTGTAATTGAATATTATTGTGCTATAAGAAATCACAAGCAGGATGATTTCAGAAAAAAAAACCTGGAAAGACCTACTAATGCACAGTGAAGTGAACAAAACCAGGAGAAAGTTGTATATAGTAATTGCAATATTGTTCAGTGAAGAACTGTGAATAACTTAGTTATTCTCAAACAATAGAATGATGCAAGACAATCCAAAGAACTAATGATGAAGCATACTATCTGCTTCCAGAGAAAGAATGATATTGATTGAATACAGACTGAAGCATGCTATTTTTCACTTTCTATCTTTCATTTTTTTTCCTTTTATCTGAGTCTTCTTGTACAAAATGGAAACATTTTCCATGCACATGTATAGCCTATATCTGATTGCTTACCATCTCAGGGATGGGGAAGGGAGGGGAGGGAAGTAAAGGAGGGATAGAATTTGGAACTCAAAACTAAATGAAAATGTTAAAAACATTTAAAAAGAGGTAAGTACAAATGGATGCCTATGTTTGTCACAAACCAATTGCTAGATATAAGGACTCCTGTAAGAAGTTACGCAAATACTTCTCAAATATATGTCTCTTGATACATTGCTATTAAAAGACATTTCTTTTCGGCCTACTCAAAGCTGTTTGGCAATGCTTGGGACAATGGCAGGGATGGCATTTTGCTAGCCCTAATTCCCAGGGGTTTGAAGTGACTTGACCTTGGTGGTGTTATTTGACAATCTGAAAATACTTGGCAAATTGGCAAGTGCCTCTGAAGGTGACCGCTGGGAAGATAAAATTTCAAAGGTTTAGTGATGTACTGTGCAGTCTGTGAAACTTCTACTCCGATGTCTTTTATTGTTGTTATTGTGGCAGATGATAAAATGAGGGAAAAAACCCCAACTCAAAATGGTCTTCAGTCCTGTGAAATTTCCCTTCCGGTTCCACATTGCCTGGTAGAAAAGTAGAAAATGGGGACTACAGGTCATAAGAATCGTGTAGTTATTTCTTTGAGGGGAAACTTTAACTTTTGGCAGTCAACGTATAACCTTTGTCCCACAACCATCAAATTGTCAACAGATCCTAGATTTGGAGAAGGACATGGAATGGAATGCTGGTTCTATCGCTTCCTATCTATGTGACCTTCAGGAAGTCACTTCTCTCAGGGCCTACGTTTTCTCATCTGTAATAATAATGATAATAACTGGCATTTAGATACCGCTTTTCCCACACCCTGGAAAGTAGGTGCTATTATTATCCCCATTTAACAGTTGAAGAAATTGGGTCAGACAGGTTAAGTGACTTGCCCAGGGTCACACAGCTAGTAAGTGGATTTGAACTCGGGTCTTCTGAACTCCAAGTATAGCACTTTTACCCATGGTGTCACTTAATTATAAAATGAGGGAATCAGATAAAATAACCTCTAAAGTCCCTTCTAGTTCTAAATATAGGATCTTACTGGAAGAGCTGAACCACATCCATACTCACATAAAGATGCTAAAGCTAAAATACATGCCTGACTACCAAAGCAGATGGGCAGATCATGTAATGAGGACGCCTTTGTGGTCCCTTCTTCTGGTCAGTCAGTTCTTCCTGGAACCTCCATTTTAAGGAGAGTGACCAGATCAGTCATTCATTCCTCCTTTTTTCCTCTACTGGCTTCTCCTCTGAGTCTCTGAACTTCCCTTTCCGCATAACCCCTCATACTTCTTTCCAACCCCTCCATGTTTTAATTCCCTTTTATGTGTTGGATTCCTCCATTAGAATGTTTATTCTTTGAGGGCAGAGACTATCTTTATTTTTGCCTGTATTTGTATGCCCAGTGCTTAGCACATAATAGTCGCTTAATAAATGCTTGTTGAATGACTAACTTGACCTGACTTGAGACAACAAACAAATTTTCCTCATGTGAAATTAAATGAATGAGAGAAAGGCCTTTAGAACGTGGGGTGCAATGTTCTTCATTGCATTTTTACTCATGTTTGCCATATAGGACTAAGGCTAGAGACATTGCAAATAGCAGTTTTCATGAACTTGTATAGATATTCATCAGGATGGAAAGGCTCTTGTGAATGATAATATTCGTTCCTACTTGAACTGTGAATAGGGCCAGAATGGTTCAGATGGATTAGCTAGATCTACTGTGACGCCCTGTTCATACTGTTGATGAAGGCAAATAGATTGATAGAGAAACCACCCATCATTCAGATATAGGAAAGATACTGCTTTTTTAGTGTTTACTTTGAAAATCAGCGAATATAAAAAATACATGAAAGGGGACCCCAAAGCGAGGGAAAGAAGAGCTGAAAGTCAAGTCGCCAAGTAGAAGAGCAACGATGATGCCTGAATAGAATAGAGAGAGGGATTTTGCCAAGAAAAGGGAACTGATGACAAGAGAAAATTCAGACACGGGGTGAGATGGGTATTTCTAGAATTATAGGGGGATGAGAAGATGCTACAGAGATAGTTCTGGAAGAAATAGGATTCGCATACCAGGGGAGTAAGGCTACAGTTTGTTGTGGATTCATTTCTTTCTGCTAAGCGAGAAAAAAAACTTAGCAGTAAAGGTAAAAATAACTGATTTGATCAAAATTACAAGCTCCTACAGAGCATACAATGCTGCATACATGTATATATGGGTTTAGTAAGCTTTAAATAATAACCAAAGTTTATGTAAATTAACGGGAGAACTATGTATAAATATTATTGATGGATAGTCAATTGATCCCTTTTCCTTATCATAGGTTCTACTGGAAATATGAATGCAGCAAAGACCTCTGAATTCATCAGTATAGGAAACTACTGGCATGGGAATTCCCTCCACCAAGCAATTAGCAAGATCTAAGGAACCAAATTTATTGGCAACTCCAAGGTGCCTAAGGTTGATGAAAATTAAGCGACTTATATAGGATGACACGACCAGTAAATATCAAAGGTGAAATTTGAACAAATGTCTTCCTTACTCCAAGTCTAGCACCATTCCTCTTTTGGGGTGTCTCTACTAACTCAGAAAAAGGCACTGAATTAAACATTCCACTAAAGGAGGCACAATATATTAAACCACACACCTGTGTTTTGTCTTATTTCAGAAGTTAGAAAGTGGGAAAGTGAAGAAATCAAATTACCCCTTGGTGTTTTGTCAGAAAGGAGAACTGGGAAGACAAAAGGCAGCACATGGCTGATTGGCTGAGGCACTGAATTTCTTATCTGTAGCTTTATCAGTTGTAATACTCAGCAAACCACACACTTGCCCTTGGGTAAATCAACCAGAAAACCGTGGACAAATGCAATTTTGTTCAAAAGGAGGACATATTTGAAGATAAAATTTTTGTAATGATTTTAAAATTTTTAAAGAATTGTTGTATGGGTCAATGAATTTAATTATTTTGTTTTGTCCCAGTTAATTAGAATACCACTGTAGACCTCTAAGATATAGAAGGATTGTTCAGTAATTGGAGTATATGACATTCACCTGTGATTCAGGTCGCCTCAAATGTTTCTTGCTCAAGTCCTCAGTGTAGGAGAGAATGAAATACAAGTAGATGGGATCTGTTAGATTAGGATCTGTTAGATTGTCTCCCTAACATATATAACACACACATATATATACATATTATATATACATATATATGTATATACATATATATGTGTGTGTATATATATATATATATATAAACATATAACAGGAATGGAAATCTAGCAAGGTACCTTCCCTGGTGCATCCCCCAATGGCTGGGTAACTCCCATTGATTAATACAAAGCCCAAGAGCAGGGGGATTGTGAACAGAAAGGCAAAGACACCTTATGGTTTCACCCAAAGTTAAAAGGGCAGTGAAGGGATTGAAAGATTATGCTACTTCTGTGCCCTGCCCAACCCTTTTCCCCCAGCTTGATGCTACAGTTTTATTTTATAAATGGATAATCATTTTCTCGCTAGCTGAATTTTAATTGTATTTCCATATTTAAATAGAGACAACCCACGTATTTCCAGAGCAAAAGGAAGTCAGCTGTTAGTTTAGAGCAGGGAAAGATCAATTCTATTCATTGTGTATTGGTTATATAAGATCAGAGGATCCTTGGTTTAGAACTAGAGGGACCTTAGACATTAACTAGTCCAACCACCTCGTTTTACGGATGAGTAAACTAAGGCTTAGAAAGGTCATGTGATTTGGACAGGGTCACACAACTTGCAAGTGCCTGAGGTGGGATTTGAGCCCAGATCTTCTTGACTCCAAGTTCAATGGACTACACTGCTTCTTGTAGGGAGCCAAGGAGAGATTCTTAGCACAAACGATAACCAGAAAGCTTGGTGCTGAAATGCTAAGAGTCACACAAGAGGGTGACTCTTGCAGATAGCTTTGCTGCTGATAAAAATGAAAGATATTTCTGAAGTTTTCTTCTTGGAATGGCATCCAATCCATATAGAGTCTATTCAACTCCTAGTCATCAAAGGCCATCACAAGTAAGTTGGTTTTGTAATACTGTCCCCTAGAGTTATTTTGTTCAACATCCCAAGTTTCAGGGAAGTGGAATCATTTGTCCAAACAATGGAAGTGAATAAACTTTTCTTTTCACTTTTGAAAATTGACCTTCTCCGATGCTTGTGTAGCAGTTGTTTCAATTTATCCTTAAAGAAGCTGGTTGTGAGTGTGTAGAGTATAGGGTTCAGGGCACTGTTTATTGGCAGAAAAAATATCACAATCCAAGAAGTGATTGTGCCTAGAGAAGGAAACAAGATGTTTAATTATGGGAGACTATTAGTTTATTTTTTTTATAAAAGAATATACAAACATTTTGGGGTCAATACTTATAAAAATTTTTTGATGGACATATGTTGCCATTAAGTTTTCAGTTTTCTCACTTTATTGAAAATCTCTAGGGAAAAGTAAAGACCAACAGTTAAAATATGGGAGTGTTTGGCTACAATCATACAGAATCACAGATTTCTGACTGGACAGTCTACACCTGAATAGAAATTGTTGCTACTACACCTAGCAATTGGCCATATAGCCTTTGACTGAAGACATTTGGGGAGGAGGATTCAGCTTTTGGACAGCTTTCATTATTAGGAAATGTGTCTTTATCTTGAGCCAATATCTGCTTTTCTGCACATTTCACTTGACTCCTGGTTCTACCCATGGGGGCAAACAGAACAATTCTAAGCCTCTTCATTTCATAGGTCTTTCCATAACTGAAGTCAGCTTTCGTGCTGCTGCCCCCTGATCTCAAATCTCTTCTTTAGGCTAAATTAACATAACCAGTTCCTTCAGCTTATCTCCTTAGGGTATGGTGTTGAGGCTCTTTACCCGTCAAGGCTCATCCTCAGAGACTGAGGATGGTCATTCTCCTCTGAACAATGGGCAGTTCATCAATGTCCTTTCTGAAAGATAACAACCAGAACTAAATTCAGCATTCCAGATCTGGTCTGACCAGGGCAGAGTGGTGGGTCCATCACCTCCCTAGTCCTAGGTGCTAGTCATTAACTTCTTTACTGCAGCCTAACATCACATTGGTTAGCCAGGTGGCACAGTGGATAGAGTGCCAGGCCTGGAATCAGGAAGACCTGCGTTCAAATCTGGCCTCAGATGCTTTGTAGCTCTGTGACCCTGGGAAAATTACTTAACCTTGTTTGCCTCAATTTCTTCATCTGTAAAATGAGATAGAGAAGGAAATGGCAAACCATTCTAGTATCTCCAAATAGGGTCATGAAGAGTCTGAAATGACTGAACAACAACAAGATTGCATAGCATTTTTGGCTGCTATATTATGCCTTTGACTCATATTGAGCTTTCAGTCCAGTAAAATCCCAGATCTTTTTCAAATGAACTTCTTTCTAACCATGCCTCCCCTATCTTCTACATTTGGAGTTAATATCCTAAGTATAAGACTTTCCATTTATTCCTATTAAATTCCATCTTATTAGGTTCAGCCCAATGTTCTAGCCTGCCATAATTTTTTTTAGATCCCCTGTCTGTCATGTAACATACTAGCTTTCTCTCCTCCTAGTTTGTGCTGTCTCCAAATTTGATAAGTATATAATGTATGCTTTTATTCAAATCATATGTAAAAATGTTAAACAGCATAGGGCCAAGAATATGTCTCTGAGGCACTCCATGGCAAACTTCTTTTCATGTTGTTATCAAACTATCACTGAATATTAACTAGAACTAGTCATACATTCAGTTCCTGAGCCTACCTCACCATACTATCATCTGACCCATATCTTTTTTATGGGAACAGTATGAGATACTTTATCAAAAGCTCTATGGTATAGTGGATAGAGCACTAGGCCTGGATTCAGGAAGACCTGAGTTCAAATCCAGCCTCAGTCACTTATTTGTCATGTGATCTTGCTTGGGCAAGTCACTTAACCTCTCTGTAAAATGAGAATAATAGTAGCATCTACCTCCTAGGATCATTGGGAGGATCAAATGAGATAATCTTTGTGAAACATTTAACACAGTGCATGGTGCATAATAGTGCTATATATGTGTTATTATTATTATCTCTGCTACAATATAGGCATTTACAGCCTTCTTTTATCTACTAGTATAAAAACCCAGTAAAAAAAGGAAATGAGGTTAGTTGGGTCTGACATTTTCTTTCGTCTTCTTCTATTTTTTTTTTTAGGAATATAAACAGTTCAACTTTAATAAGTCCCTTAAGATTTCTCTTTTCTGTTTACTTTTTCATGTTTTCTTGAGTCTTGTATTTGAAAGTCAAATTTATTATTTATTATTATTTAGCTCTGGTCTTTTCATCAAGAAGGCTTGAAAGGTTTCTATTTCACTGAATGTTCATTTTTTCCCCTGAAGGATTATACTCAGTTTTGCTGGGTAGGTGATTCTTGGTTGTAATCCTATCTCCTTTACCCTCTGGAATATTATATTCCAAGCCCTCCAGTCCCTTAACGTAGAAGCTGCTAAATCTTGGGTTATCTTAATTGTGTTTCCACAATACTTGAATTGTTTCATTCTGGCTGCTTAAAATATTTTCTCCTTGACCTAGGAACTCTGGAATTTGGCTATAATACTCCTAGGGGTTTTCCTTTGGGGATCTCTTTCAGGAGGTGATTTGTGCATTCTTTCCATTCCTATTTTGCCCTCTGGTTCTAGAATATCTAGAATATCAGTTTTCCTTGAAAATTTCTTGAAAGATGATGTCTAGACTCTTTTTTTTTTATCATGGCTTTCAGATAGTCCAATAATTTTTAAATTATCTCTCTTGGATCTATTTTCCAGGGGCCTGACATTTTCTTGATGAAGTCAAGCTGTCTCTTTGTGATCATCATTTTCTTTTCAAGAAATTCACTAACCACCCATTTAATGATACACTCTACGATTTTACCAGGAATCAAAGTTAAGCTTACTGACCCAGAGTTTACAGATGTTTTTCTCTCCCTTTTATTGAAAATGGGACAGCCCTTGCCCTTCTCAGGTCTTGCGGCTATTCTTACATTCTCCACAATTTTTCAAAGATCATTAACACTGGTTCAGCAATGAAATCTACTCATACTTTCAGTGTCCTGGGATGTAATTCATATGATCCAGCTGACTGAAATTTATCAAGGGATCTGGGTGCTACTATTTCACTCTCTTATTATGTCCAAGTACTCTACTATTTTTCCCCTGTTTATATTGCTTTTCTTACAGAAAAATGTGAACATCATGGAATTTTTTTGTAGCAGTATGATTTAGCAGAAGGAATACAAGACTTGGAACTTAAAGATCTGGGTTCAAATCTCAGCTCTGTTACTTACCATGAGTAAGCCTTTGGGTAAATCACTAAACCTTTCCAGGTCTCAGTTTCCTTATCTGTCAAATAAGGGGGTTACATTAGAGGACTAAATACCATTCTGGTTCTAAATCTATGATCCTATGATGTAAGATGATTGTGAATTTTGGAACACCATAATTTCCAAAGAGTCAAAGTTGTAGATTACTCAAATGTCACCTGGAAAACTGCACGGTGGGTGTGAGTAAGATGTAATTTATTTCCGGTGATGCTCTGTGCTTTAAAAAATTGGGGGAAAATCTCATTCGGGAAATAGGCATTTACAAAAAAGATATGGGCTAATCATGTAGTGAAATTGAAGGATGAAAAGCTTGAAAGCTGTACTGATTTCCATCCAAACCAAAAAGGCCTTCAGGAAGACCTCTGCCCTATTGGGTAGAGCCTCTGTGATGTATCTATGAAGGAACATCAGTAGGAATTCTGCTAGGTGAGAATGTGCAAACCTGTTGTGATCTGTACCAATGGAGGGGATGGGTATTCTCCTTGAAGAGATCACAGACATAGTGAAATCTTGGTTCCCTAATCACAGAGCAGCAAGGATGGGGAATCTCTGGCATTCATCTTGATTTTTATCTACCTTTAAGATAATATTTTTCTGGTCACTGGTTGTGCTCAGGGAATAATTTTCAACTTGAGGTGTAATACTACTCAGAGGGAATCTCTCCAGGATTAAGAATGGTGGAAGAAACTGTGAACAATAGTTAAAAAGTGACTCACCATTCCAAAGGGCAATTAACTGGTCAAGCACTCTGAAATGCACCTATCAAGTGAATGGCAGTTATGATCTCCATCCCTTACCTATTCCTTATACTCTATAACTTAGATATTACTGTATGTGCAAACTTTTTAAGTCTCACTCCTCTCCTCCAACCTCTATCTTTCCCTCCCTTTCATTTTTTATCTTCTACTTTCTCTCAGTCAGTCTCTTTTTCTCTCTGTCTCTGTCTCTCTGACTCTCCCTTTCTCTCTCAGTCTTGTTTATCTCTGTCTCTTTGTCTTTGTCTTTTTTAGATAAGTTCACAGGAATTGGAAAGGACACTAAATGGCATTTTACCCACCAGCTCTTCAGATGACGAAATTGAGTCCAAGATAGTTAAAGTGATTTACTTGAGGTGTAACAAGTAACATGTAACAGCTAAAATTTGAATTTGGGTCTTCCAATTCCAGATCTAGCTTTCTTTCTATAGTACTGTGATACCTCTTGCTCTTCTCTCTTTTACTTTATCCCTTTCCCCAATTGTTATTCTCTCTATCTCTGTCTTTCTCAAATGGGTTTGTGTTAATATTCTATTTATCTTACACATTTTACCTATGCCTTTCTCCATACTCCCCCCGCCACTTCATTCCTTTTCCATATTGCCTCTCCTCTCACTTTCTCCCCTTCTCTTCTTATATAATAGCCCACATTTCTAGAGTCCTTGAAAGTTTATCTCCATTAAAATCCTGCTCCAATTTCATTATAGATTGGAGGTGAGCCTGGGTTCCTGCAGACAGCAGAAGTGGAGTACAAGTGCTCACTTTTTAAGGTGGGCAGACCTCAAGGACAGACCAGTGCCAGATTATCTCTTGTCTGAAAACCTGGCCTAGTTGTAAAGGAGAGATTCATCATCAGATTGATCACAGGGTGAGGAATTTTCTGGTCACAGCAACTCTCAAAGACTTTCCACTTGGGCATGGAAGAGTTTTGGTCTGGGCCAGTAAAGTTCAGTTGTTTCCAACTCTTCATGACCCCATTTGGGATTTTCTTGGCAAAGATATTGAAGTGGTTTCCCATTTCCTTCTCCAGCTCATTTTTCAGATGAGGAACTGAGGCGAACAGGGTGAAGTGACTTGCCCAGGGTCACACAGCTATTAAGTATCTGAGGCTAGATTTGAACTCAGGATAACAAATCTTCCTGACTCCAGGCCTGGCACTTCATCTGCTATACCACTTAGCTACTCAGTGAAGTGAAAACACAGAGGCAACTGCAGATCCCTGATGTCTTTTAAGGTCTACAAAGTACTTTCCTTACAACAACCCTTTGTGTATTAGGAATGTTATTAACCTTATCTTACAGATGAGGAAACTGAAGCTGATTTGCCCAAGGTCATACATGTCTACAATTCAAATCCAAGTTTCCCAATTCTTCCCACTGCGCCGTGTTCCCTCTGGGCGCAACTTATTCTCATGTCATTCCACTCCAATAAACCCCCATTTGTTCCCTTAGATCAAACATCAATTATTCTGGCATTCAAAGGCCTTCCCAATCTGGCTTCTACTTCCCTTTCCAGCCTTATTATTTATTATTCATTCCCCTTCACACACTATGATCTAACCAAACTGGCCTTCTTGCCTTTCTTCACTCATAGCACCCAGTCTCCTTTCTTATTGTCCTGCACAGGCATGGAATACATTTCTTCCTCACCTCCACTTTTTCAGCTCTGTTTTCTTTAAGGCTTACCTCAAGCACCATCTTCTGCAGGAAGGTTTTCCTGAGCTCTTTGCCTCTTGGTTTTTTTTCCCCCCAAATTGTTCCATTTGGTGTATATACGCACATATACATATATACATACATACATATGTGCACACACACACACAAATATATGCATATATATGTACACACACATACCTACACACATATTGCTTCCCTAGCTAGATCCTTAAGGGCATGCCTTAAGGGCATGGAATGTTTATTTCACCTTTGTGTTTTTAGCCCAGCACTTAGTAAGTAGTTAAATACTTGATAATGATGGTTTCCCTACCCTGTGTCAGGTTTTCTTGCTTTTTTACAGTCTTCTCCCCTCTCCATTTTCTTCTCCTTCCTTCCCTTTGGCTCACCTCTCACTCTTACATACTTGTTATTCCTCCCTTTCTCTTCCCTTTCATTTTTTCCTTCTCTTCAACTTCCTTAATATGGAAATAACACTGAACCAAAATATATTGTTAGTATTTGTTTTTCTCATAAAATAGAGCATTATGTTTCCAGTTCTTAATTTAAAAAGCGGCAGAACTGCACTATTTTTCACTCTGGGGGGAAAACAATTAAATTTAAATTGTTTTGTGTCTGTCCTTCAATTATTTTTCTGTGACCAGTGATCCTTGTCAGAATAAAGTTTCTCTAATCCTGCAAAGCAGTATCTGCATAGGGTTTTGCATTGATAATTAAGATTCCCAAGGCTTGTGTGAAGTCCCATTTAGTCAAATGGCTGCTTGGGGTGGAAAGTGCCAAAACCTGTTTTGGCTTCTGGGCAGGGTCTGGGTAAGAGAGACAAGATATCTTGGCTTAATATAATCATGGGGATTTTTTGAAGGCAGGGACTGTGTCTGTTTAATTTGAAGGAATAGAATTTAGCATGACATCATGCACAGACACAAAGGGCTCTGAAGATGTCAATAACTTACTTTTCCCCAGTCAGGTAGTATAGACACAACACAAACTGCAGAGTTTTAATTGTGGATTAGAACCAGTAAACTGTGGCACCAAACTCAAGTAGAAATGGAGGTCACTAAACATACATAAAAAAGATCCCTGCTGGCATGCATATTGACTTACAAAACCACATATTAGTAATATTTATGTTCTATCGATTTTTATATATTTGTACATATTTTCCAGGGCCACCTCTGCAGTAAAGAACACAGTCAGCTAGGCATATAAGTCCCTTTAAATTGGCCAGGTGAGCGGAAGACCTATTGAAACCCCATAGCTGCTTCTTCTTCACCTTCTCAGGTACCAGACTCCTTCTATCTTCTGATTACCCCAGCTGCTATCAGACACATGATTTCCTGGTTTTTAAATGGGAGGGAAAAAACCTCAGTTTGTATGGTATTGATTTATCCTCTTTCTGTAACCTTCCTTGCCCCCCTCCCACTCAACAATATACAAAAGAGGACATAGAGGGAGGTTTTTTTTTTTTCTCTCTCCTAGGAAGGAGGACTCACCTGGTATTTCCACTGGGAAGAGGGAAAGAATTTTTATGACAAATACAGGAATCCAGCAGATGGCATCAGAGAACACGATAAAGAAGAAACGATTGGCCAGAGCTACATCCCTTCCAATGTGGGTCCTCACAATGGAAGTCTGCAGGGCTGTTTTTTGAATGGAACAGAACATACTGATGTAGGAAAACACTATGAGGAGGAAAGCCAGCAAGTTCACACCTGGTGGGGAAAAGCACAGATCTTAACACTTTGGTGCTATCCAGACAACAGTGCAAACCACAGGATATTTTTAGAGGTGCTATTCGATGTATCTGCTAGGCAGGGTGCAGAGAAGTAATTCCTCTTTCAAAAACCACAATGCCATGCAGAGAAAAATCTAGAGTGAAGAGGATATGTTCTGGGCCATTTCTCCACAAATAGGAGATTGTCAAATGAGAAGGGAAAAATATTTTCAAATATAACAACCTTCCATGAAGGGATTCCAAGATGCTGCAATTTAAATGTAGGGGCCTCATGAGGCAGGATCTGCTTTATCACAATTAGAAGAGAAAGATTTTTAAGGCCTCTGAAGTTCCAGACTTTTTCCACTATGACCTTGTAAAATTCGGATTGCATTACCAAAATGAAAATGGAGACACGCCAATTTTTGGAGATGCTTACCCCCAACATGTAAGTGACTTTCTAGAGATAAAGTACCTTATTAAGAACCATGGCATGGCTGATTCTAGATTTTTTTTAAAAGGATAAACAACAACCCTTCCTTTCCTTGTCCTTGAAAGTGCCTCATACTTGAGCGTTTGGGAAATTGCATTCTATTCTAACCCTCATCTAGGTTGTCTGAGGAACAAGGGGCTCACATAAGTTGGCAGAGTTCCCAGGTGAATTGCTTTAGCTCACAGTCATTGTTGATAAACATGAAAGCAAAGGATGCTATGTATCAGAGAAAGATCACCTAGAACTCCTGTATTTAATGTGAGAGCTTTTTAGTATGCCTTCGGCTATTTTCAGCACTAAATTTCTACAATAAAACACTTAATAAAATATTTCATCAGCATGTACCAAGCATTTTTATTAAAAACAGAGCATGGCAATGTAATTTTACTTAGTAATATGCATAAATTAACCTTGCCAGAAACTTATAGCATTTGTAGAAAAATTAAAGTCAAATGGAAAAATTACAACATAATTTACCTAGAAAAATGCCAAGAGAATACCCTTTGCTTCTAACATCTTCTGTTTGGTCATAGAGTGGAAAACACACTCCATTTTTTCCATAGAAGTTTCCAAAAAACTCCTCACTCCAAAATGGAATAATAGCTATTAAGAACCCAGCAATCCAGATGCAAACAAGGATGATCATCGTCTGGCGTTTTCCCGGACGAATATTACTGAAGGGAAAGACAATGACTACATACTTCTCTAAAGTCAAGTATGTCAGCAGCAAGACGGAGACCTCTGTGGATAACATGGCCAGAAACCCCATGAGGCGGCACTGTAAACTTTCCATCCACAGCAAAGCATACTTTTGGTATTGTCCTCTATATTTTATGTCAAAGAATCCAATGAAAAACAAGTAAACTCCCATTAGACAGTCAGCACCTGTTAAAGAATTACAAAAATGTCATATGTTAGTAGTAATTTCCTAGCCTGTAATCTCAGCTACTGGATAGAGTGAGGCCAGTGGATCTCTTGAGCTCAGGAGTTCTGAGTTGTAGTGTGCTAGGCTAGTCAGGCATCTGCACTAAATTTGGCATTATTATGATGAGCCCCCAGGAGCAGGGAGGCCATCAGGTTGCCTAAGGAGGGATGAACCAAATCAGATCAGAAATAGGGTTCCTGTGCCAATCAGTAGTAGGACTGACCAGTGAGTAGCCCCTGAACTTCTAGCCTGGGTGAGATGGGGAGACCCAGGCTTAAAAATAAGCCCCAAACTAAATTAAAAAGTAGTAAGAACCAATTTCCTCATAACCATCTCTCTAGGTCTGCTTCCTGAATCCTATAATTCTGTCTGGACATGAGGAAATAGTATTGAACACTTGAATGAGCAACAGAAAAAAAATCCCTTTCTAGATTTCTTTTTTAACCCCCTTTCTGGAATAATTTATTTTAAAAAATTAGATTAAATCTATGATTTTATTGGTATAGTGAAGTCTGTATGAGAAAACTTCATCTACTACGATAGATCTGATGTATGATTTAGAAATTTGGAGATCTGCTTGTGGCACTGAGATTATGTGACTTGCCTAGAGTCACATAGGCAGAGTCAGGTCTTCCTGGCTTGGAAGCTGGTTCTCTACCTCCTTTATCTTGTTGGGCTTGCTATAAAAATCCCATTACAAGCTGTAATTACTTAAAATGGATATTAAAATGAAAAAGCAACAGAGAGGCACATGGTATGTTTTAGGTGGCTATGGCATATTACAAATGACAAATTACAGCAGAGAAGTGACCCAAAAGGGTGTCATCAGAGATGTATGTGGCTGAATAAAAAAAGATGGACTGTCACATGGAGAGAGGGTAATAGACAGACAGCCTGCACAATTCACTGATATCCTCAGGCTGTCATCAGAACTCAAGGAAAACTCCCAGAACATTGGCAGAGTGGAACCCCTGTGATAACCTTGTTGGAGAATATGGACAAGAGACAAATCTGACAGGCAGGCTTGGAATGTTTCTGATCTCGCATCGCTAGAGGGAGTAGCTGCACTGGAGAGATCATAGGAACATGCTGTAGAGCTGGGAGGTACCTCAGATGCCATCTGGTCCAATCCCTTCCTTTTACAGAATAGGAAAGCAAGTCCTCTCCCGGTGAAATGTCCAAGGTCACGCAGGGAGTTAAGTGGCAGAGTCAGGATTTGATCCAAGGACCTAGGACTCCAAAACCATCACTCTTTCCACCGTACCATGCTCATTCCCACAAATCCCCTGAAGCGCGTGACTATTTTCTTTAGTATTTGTCTAGCAGGTTTTATATCTATATGATTTCCATTTATATTTTCAGAAACAATACTGTATCGGTCCAAATCCCACTTCTGACATTTGGTAGGAAAGGAATAAGCATTTATTGTGTCCTATTATCTATGTTTTATTATATTATATTTTTATTTATTTTGTTAAATATTTTCCAATTATACCTTAATCTGGTTTGGGCTTTGACAGCATTGTGGGCGGTGTATGTTGCTGTATGACTGCTGTCCAAGGACAGTCTAAGAGTCTAAGAATAGAAGTTATTGTTGATAATGAGGGTCTGATTAAAGCACTGTTTCCATATAGGGGAAGGTGGCACAGTGGAAGGAGACCAGAGTTTAAATCCTGCCTCAGTCACTTAACTAGCTGTGTGATCCTGGATGAATCACTTAACCTCTTCTAGACTCAGTTTCCTTCTTCTTTAAAATAGGACAATAACAGCACCCACCTCACAGGGTTATTGGGAAAATCAAATGAGATGTTATATGTAAAGCATTTCGTAAACCTGAAAGTATGCCATACATGTTAGCTATTATTATTATTATACCCTACCATACAATAATCCCTCAAATGACTCATCTTTTCTATCTGACCCCATTTTGTGCTGGTGAGAATCATTGGATTAGGGAAAGCACAGGTGATGTTCCGATAGCTATAAAGCATGAAATTGATATGGTGATCATATCCCTGAGATTTACAATTTGTGCATAAACTCCATTTGTTGTCAATTTCTAGGTATCTTGGGTGTGGTCCCCAGAGTTGGAGTCTAATCAAACCAAAAGCCCACTTACAGCACAAGATTTTGATGGACATAGCATGGGTCTTATTTTCAGCTCTGATGAAGGACCTCATGCCAATGACAAAAAGATTCCCAAAGCAGGTAATGAAAGCTATAACCCAGACAAATATCCTCAAGATGTTGTTAGCCAAGAGATCCTCAAATGAAGAAATGCCATCAGTCAAAGGTACACATATTCTCACGTGGGGAGCATAGGAGCAATACCGAAAATTTTTGAAATAACTGAAATCAAAAGAAAAAAAACACAGCTGTTAGCATAGATCAAGGCTGTAATCTGCCTGTTTGATATGTGGTATCAATGGACTTTTTTCTTGAGGGGTCCAGACCTGTGAAGAGTTCCCTGGAACTCTGGGAATTCTTTATTAATGGAGATCACCAGCTTACCTGCAGCTCATAGACTTAGACTTACTGGGGTCAAGGAGAGATAAAGTGAGGCATGTCCCTGGTCACCATATCAGAGGTAGTCCTTTAATCCAGACCTCCCTAACTCTCAGGCTGATCTACCTTTTACATCATATTTCTTTTAATCGTAAGATCATAGATTTAGAGATGGAAGGTATCTTAGAGGCTGTGTAGCCCAGCCCCTTCCATTTTACAGATGAGGAAACCGAGGCTCAGAGATCAAGTAAACCACCCAGGATAACACAGCTAATAACTGTTTGAAGCAGGTTTTGAACCCAGGTCTTCCTGACTCTAAGGCTTGTACTCCATCTACCTCAACATTTTAAATTTATTATATAACGTTCATGTAATCGACTTAGACAGTGCATGGAGTGCAGGAATTAGAGTTAAGAAGATCTGATTTCAATTTGTCCCTCTGACATTGGTAAGCTATGTAACCATGAGCAAGTTACATCTTCTCTGGACCTCAGACAACTGCTTGAGACTTAGACACTAAGTGATAAGTCTGGGATCTGTGGTCCCACACCAAATTCTTGATAGATTAATGTATTCATCTAATACTTGTACTTCACAACAAAGCTACTTAATTACCTCCACCCTATAATTCTAAGCAATGTTTTTATATTATCGATGATTAGCCTGAAGTACATAGAAGATGACAAACCTACCCAGGGTGCCTTTGGTGGAGTGAGGATTCAAAATCTGAGGGATTCTAATTTGCTTATCCATACTGCCTTATTCTGTCACATAAGGAGAGTAGATTCTCATTATGAAGCTGATCCCTAACCAATATTTGGGGATTTGGGAAGCACAGAGAGAGATGACTTCTTTGTAAAGAGCCCATCATTATGAGTTAGGCATTTGCATTTAGTTATACATCTTACATTTAGTTTAATATCATCAATGCACTCACTTTAAGGAAGCTGCCTTTTTTCCTTGATACTAATAGGGCAGAAAGTCCTCTGAGAATAGGAAAAGTCTGGGGCTGAGGAGAAATGGACATCTTAAATACTGATTTTGGATCAGGGCCTTGAAGGATTTAAATAAGTTGGGGGGAGGGGAGAGAGAAAGGTTTTAGGTCATTATATCTATGTATTTTCTAGGTAGAAGCTGGGGGCAAGGTTGGAAGGATGGGGTATCTGGCTCACCAAACCCATGTCTTGAATTTTCTTATATGTCATCCTTTCTATTTTTATTCCGCCCATATCTTCACTTCATCATTTCCTGGCAAGCTTCTTCCATCTTTCTTCATCTGCCGACTCAGCTTTAAAAAATGCTGCCTGTATCAGGCAGTTGGGGAGCAATGACTAACATGGGCACACGGTGGGCAGAGCTCAATGTTAGGATGCTAGGGATGGTCTGCACAGACCCTTGTCTCAGGGATTTTACAGTCCGATCTCCTTAAATGCTGCATCTAGCTTAAGGGATTTTTATATCTGTTTGGTTCCTTTTCTCTTCCTTGTAACCTCTAGCAAACACAAAATCTTTCCTCTTGGCTCTTTTATAATCCCTGTATGTTAATCCCATGCAGTAAAATATAAGTCTTTTGAGGACAGGGATTTTTTTGTGTGTGTCCCCCATAGTTGACTAACACATAGTAGGCATTTAATACTGGCTAATGCATGATGAGTTAAAGTGAATCAAATAGATCCTGCCAGATGGCTTTTTTCAGTTAATTTCCCTCGCTAGAGTGATTTTGCTGACATTTCAAGATGGAAACAGAGGGGGAAATGGACTGTGGAGGTGCTACAGCTGATTCTATGGAAGGAATTGAGGACTTCAGCAATTGGATCACAGAAAAGGCCAATAAATAGACTGCTAATTGTTCTGCCATTATCAACATGACTCTTAGGTCAGTGTTTAAAGTGGAAATGTCATCTAGTTCCAAGAAGTTTGCATTTGTGAGAAGATTCTTCCTGCAACAGGAAATATTCACCTGATGAAGCTTTCGCGAGAAAAACCTGGCTTGAAGTCATAAAGTTACTTAATGTTAGGAAACCACACTATGACTTTGAAGTTTGCAAAGCAGTTAACATGCATTCACTCCTTTCCATTTCAGTGCTTCTAGATGTGACTATGGACAAGTCAGTTTGCTCATCTGTTAAGTGGTGAAAATAATATCTTTGATACCTACTGCAAACCATGAGGTAGATGTTACAGATTCATCACCATTTTAGAGATGGAGAAATTGATTTGGTCAGTCCAAAATCAATAACCAGTAAGTATCAGGACTGGAACCTAAGTCTTCTTGGTTGTAGGTCCAATGCTCCAGCTAGTATGATCTTGGATTTGAGAGGATTGAGTAGATGATCTCCTGAGAAGCAATGTGTGCAGTGGAAAGTGTATTGGACTTCTGTCAGAGGACTAGGGTTCAAATCCCTGGTCTGCTACTTCCTACCTATATGACCTTTGGCAAGTTACAACCTTTCTGGGTCTCTGTTCTTCATCTGCGAAATGAGGATGTTAATCTAACTGGCCCATGAGTCCTTCTGGTTCTAAATCTCTGATCCCATATGACCATAAACAAAATGTTTTCCATCTTGTTCATTTGCTAAATTTTGGTCTTACGTTTATTTCTTCCCATTTTTTATATAGATACTGCAGAATTTTTGAAATGATGAACATATATAGTATCTTGCTAATGAGAGTTGATTGTATTAAGTGGGATTGATGCCATCTACATAGTACATTTCACTCAAAGAACTTAATTCATTCCAAACTATTGTAATGGTGAATTTTCTCTGTCACTAGCAGTATCAGCACAGGGAATTCATATAACATCTTTCTTCACTCCAAGCTCCTATTTAAAGCAGTCAACTGCTCATCCATGTGAGGGGAATTAATTTTTTCTAGTTCACCTGAGCAGCGTTTAGCCTGTGACCTCATCTCATGTAATGTGTGGCACTTAGATGCACCCCCATACTTAGTGGACCTCAGATGGGTGAACGTCTTGTATCCAAACAGAAGTTTCATTGCTGTTGGCTCACAGTAAAATTGAGCTCTATTTGAATAGCGTCCAAATATTACAGAATTAAAGAGCTCTTAATGAAAAATATTTTTCTTGCATAGTAACACAATACAATTATGCACAGGAGACATAATTCATGTGAACATATTAAAACATTTCTGCCAAATCTTCACCTACCTTTCATATATACATATACACAATACATACGTACATACATGTGAGAAAGGTTCCTCATGTGTTGAAACATTCTTGTGTTTATATTTGGAATCTCAATCTTTTCCAGGTCCCTGAAAAATATGGTTAACATACTTACTTGCTAATAAATTAAAATTTGGGTTTGAAGTGATTTCTAATTTTTATTTTTGTTTTTGATGGTCACAAACTTTATAGCCCACTGAATGAAACATTTCAAAATTACAAAGTTAATATTTAAACAGAAAGAAAACACCAATTTCATGTTTGTGTATGTATGTATACATACACAAATATGTGTACAGATGTATATTATGTACATATATGCATGCATATACAAGATCTTTATGTTTCTGTACATGTTTATATATTTATAAAGCTTATGTTTGTAGCTGTTCTGAGCAGGCCCAGTTCTGCTCCTGTGGAATCTCTGACCTGGTCACTTAAAAGCAGAATGATATTACAGCAGTATTTTTATCCACTTCTTTTGATAGCTTATTTTTAAAACCCATTTTTTCCCTTTCCTTTATTTACAATCAGTAGAATGTAATCTTCTTGAGGGCAGGGACCATTTAGGCACTTAACATGCTTATTGAATTAAAAAGTTTCAACATCTTCTCTGCATCACTGGCCATATAATTTACTGGAGTGGGGGGGGGGCAATGCAGAAGGTTCTGAGAAAACCAGAACTTTTTACTTCCCTCCCAGTAGAATGTCACTGAAGTGAAGGTGGTAAGGGGTCCAACTTTTCAATCTCTTTGTGTTGGTATTCGACAGTAGCAGTAATCTCACATAGCTGTTAGAAGTAGCCCTAATTCGAGATTACAGGGGGCTCCTGAAATCTTCTCAAGATTCCAAGAAACCCTTGACATGGTGAAGTTCAGGGGGTTTAGGGTGTAAGTACCAGAACAACAATTCATCTTGGATGCCTCTTCTCCATAAAAACTGTCCTTTGAAAACTTCCAGAGTCATCTCTTACGGAACTTATTTGTCCCCCTCCCACCTCCAAATGTGTATAAAGAGAGTCATTATGGAATAATAGGTGTAGAAAATTTCTAAAGCCATTCTTCAGTTATGGAAGGAAAATTGTCAATCAAAAGAGGCAGAAACCTTCCTTTTAAAAAAAATTAAGACTTGATTTAGAGAAAAGAGCCTGATTCTCACTTTACCTATACTTTACCCCATGTAAAGATGTCTTTTTGCCCAGTTAGAAAGACGTAGTACAATCAGTTTGACTCTTTTAAAGGCAAAAATGATATCTAAGGGAACTATTCACTGACAGTTACTGAATAATGGCTCAATCCCTCTGACTTCTAGGCCTGCATGGGGTCCTATTCAACTTCCTTTTTTCCCCAAAGAAACCACTAGGTTTCTGCTGGTGAGCAAACAGTCCTGCACACATAAATGGACTCCTGGGAAGAAGGCTTGTGGGGAGAAGAGGAAAAAGTTGCTTTTCATTAAGTCCATGATTTCTGTTCTGTTCAGAGGCTTATGAATTCTTGGGCCCAAATCCAGCATTAATTTCTGATAAAGCCTTCTAAAGACTGTACCTTCCTCTGTGGTCTTTGACAGATTTAGCAGTGTATTGTCAACTGCTTTATTTAATAAGAACTGTGGAACATGAAGTTGGACAGACTTCAGGAGATAGCAGAGGATAGATGGGCCTGGTGTGTTATGGTCCATAGGGTCACGAAGAGTCAGACACAACTGAACAACAAAAATAGTCACAGAAAATTGCCTGGGGACATTGAGAAGTTAAGTGACTTGCCCAGGGTCACATTGTTTGATGAAATTCCCTTCCCTAGTCCTCGTTCTTCTATAAGTATTGTCTTCTCCTATTAGAATGTAAGCTTCTTGAGGACAGGGGTGATCTTGATTTATCTAATTGTATCTTAACAGTGCTTGGCATATAATATGTGTTTTTTTCCCCATTCATTCCTTCATGTTTCAGAGGCAGGACTTAAACCCATATATTTTTGGCCCCAAAGTCAACTCTTAATCAATTATGCCATGCTGACTTTTGATAAGAATTGTAGAGAAATGAAAGATGTAATCTTAAAATATAGATGCAGAAATGCGTCCAGCTTAGATAGTATATTATGGGTCCTACTATATGGAAAGAAGATTCTACAGATCAACAACCTTTCTGGGAAAAGAGAGAGGGAAATAAAAGGATGCCCAGAAGAATTGTAAGGTCCTCATTATATTACAAACTCCTTGTGCGTAGGGACTGTCTTTTGCCTCTTTTTCTATCTCCAGGGCTTAGGACAATGCCTGGTACATAGAAGGCACTTAATAAATGTTGATTGATTGTTAGCATAATTTGAAACCTTCTCCTACCGAACTTTTAGAAGGCTGGAAAATGGCAGTTTCTTAATTTTCGTATACATAAAAATTCTGTTTCACTTATTGACTGAAAGGAATGAGGCGCACACTGTAAGATGAATATTCAATACTTCTGCAAAGTATTGTGGGAAGGAGGGGGTAGTTTATTTTTAGTAAGGTTTCTATTCTGAAATTATTACATGTTTTATTCTGCTTTGGGAAACTGTACAATGAAGTTTTCTACCTGAACTTGGTCTTTAGGAAGACTTCCTTAGCCTTCAAAGGTGGATATATGTCTTTTCATATGTTGTAAGAAATAGTTTTTAGGCATTCAATAAATCCTGGATAACAGTGCTGCTAATTATTGCTTGTCGATCAAAGAGAGGCTTAATAGTCATAAAAATTTTCCCAGCTAAAATAGCATAGCCTCAGTAATCATGATGAATATATTAGAATATTTCACTCACAGAGACTGAAGGTATTTCATACTTTCAAAGTGGTCTTCATCAAGGTAAGAAAGTGGATTGTAAGACAGATTCCTAAAATAAAGAGAAAACAATGTACCCTTAGCAGGAAGAGAAAAAGAAAGCATGTTATTATTTAGAAAGTTCAACACGAGACCATTAGAGCTGATTCTGAAGGGAAAAAATTGCTGCTTACAGTTTTTGTAGAAGTTTCAGTTCTTTAAAAACATGGTGGGGTAAGTCCATGATCATGTTGTTAGACAGATCCCTTGTAGAGAGAGTGAGAAACCATGACAATTTGATGTCAGTGCATTAAATTGGATATAGAACAAATATGACATTTTCTGTATTGGCATCACAGTTCCCTTGGACACAACAGAAAACCTGAATCTTACCTGAAATAACATTTTACTTATTACTCTGCAACATGGCCCTTTGAACTAGCTCAGCTAGTTAAATAAAATGATCATGGCCTCCAGAGTGAGAGGACCTAGGTTCAAATCACACCTGAGATACTACCTGTGCAACCTTGGGTAAATACTGTGATTTTTCTGGACTCCAGTTTCCTCATCTCTAAAATGATGGGAATGAACCACAATTCTAGAGAAGTCATGATAAAGCAAGTTACCCACTTATTGACAGAGGCAATGAACCCAAGAGAACAACCCAATAAGTCATATTTTTGGGCCCAGCCAATGAAGAAATTTGTTTTGCTTAACTTTCTAGATTTATTGTGAGGGAATTTTTTTCCTCTTTCTATGTTTTCGCCCCCCCCCCATTGGGGGGATGATAGGGATAAGGTAGAAAAAAAGAAAAGAAAGGAGAAAGAAAGAAGAGGGGGTCATTGAAGAATTTTTTTAAATCACAGAAAAAGAATAGAAGGTTAGAAAAACAAGTAGGACACTTTGAAAGTTACATGTTGAATTTATTTAAAAGAAAAGCAGACTACACAGAACAAAGATCTGCAGTTTCATGTACAGTCCTTTTCTTCTGTTATGCTACGTATGAGATATACCAAAAATGCCTGTTTTATTTCGTGTTTATTAAGTTCATAATCCAAATAAATAATATATACAACATATAATATGGACAAACCTATGTGTAAATAAATTAATAAATAAGCAAAAATTAGTGGTTGGATTATATGGCCTCTGAGGATCCTTCTAGTACTAAATTTATGATTCTTTAATCATTATGACCTCACTCCCTCAGACATTTACCATTTTTGCTTGGTAATTGTTCATATAGACATGATCTTCATGGGTTCAGATAAGATTAATCCAATTTACAGTTCCTCTCCATCAAATTATGTGCATTACTTCCTTCAGAATTCAGCTCAAATTAGCTCCTAAGAAGTCTCTCTCCTGACTAACCCTACCCAGCCTGGTCTATGTCTGGCTCTAAGGAACCAAACTGACAAACCTCTTCATGCCTGGCTTGAGACATACTTTACATATATTCAGTACTTCATAAATATTTGTTGACTCTATTCATGCTGCCTATAACTCCTGTCTAATCAAAAGCAGCACCATTCTTCTCATTCATTCTGAAAAGGGTGCTATTCACAAGTAGAATTAGGGGGAAGCTGATCTGCGGGGTCTTTGTCCTGATCAAATAGTCCACAGAACACGAACCATTGGAATCTTCTCTGGTTGTCACAAAGGAGGACTTGAGGGGACAGAACGAAATTAGGACAGAAGAGGAGGAAGGTCTGTATCCTTATCACCAAAGGTCACATAACAGAGAAATTGCTACTTATGACTCTGCTAGAAATATCTTGTTGTTGCTGTTGTTGTCGGTGGTATCCAACTCTTCATGACCTCATTTGGGATTTTCTTGGCAAAGTTACTGGAGCGGTTTGCCATTTCTTTCTCCAGCTCATTTTACAGATGAGGAAACTGAGGCAAATAGAGTTTAAGTGACTTGCCCAGGGTCACACAGCTAGTGAATGTCTGAGGTCAGATTTGAATCCAGGAAGATGAGTCTTCCTGACTCCAAGTCCTGGCACTCTATTCACTGTGCCACCTGGCTGCCCACTTTCACTCATACCTCTCTACTCATCGGTTGTGGTAGAGGAGATGGAATATTCCTTGCTTCCCACGGCTACTTCTAGACTTTTTCTCTATGTGCAATGTGCCCTAGTTTAAGGTTCATGTTGTTCAAATTTATCATCCAATCCAGATCTCAATATCTGCTATCTACTGACTCCCCAGAACACTGTTCTTCTTTCCACAATGACCTGGCTCAAAGATTGTCTCTCTTCCTCAATTCCTTCCTTCATTCTAGGGACTTCAACATACATACCCTAACTTCAAAGTTTTTAATCTACTCAATTCAGATGGTCTTGCCGTGATCCACAAGTGTTTTACTTTCTTATTCACTAACTCTGAAATTCTTTTATCTGATCACAGTCTTCTATCATTCTTTTTCCCCCTATGCCTTAGGACCTCTAACCCTGTTCTTGATCTTTACCTTGATCTCTACCTCTTAGTTTCTTTGTTTTATTTTTGCAGGCCATTCCCTCTGCTCTGGTTTTACTACCCTCCTTTTTCCTTTCTTAACTCATTGGTCAATCAATTCGACTTCACACCACCCCTCACACTCAAATCCTTTGCCTCCTTGTTGTACCACTGAGCATGCCTTGCCAAGCCACAACCTCATGTTACTACCATCTTGTGCTGCTCTCATTCATGTTCATGTACTGCTTAGTTAACAGTCAACAAGCTGGCTATTGACTGACTGACTGACTTCCACCATCTGCTGTCTTCACTTACTTTCATGTCCTGTTGAATGGAACTAGGAAAAAAAATCATGAAACCATCCTAATTGAGTCCACTACAAATTATGTTACATGATCTCAACTGGGTTCTCATTGTAGCAAGGCAATCTTTTTATACCTCCCTAATCATTTCACAATCCCACTCATCACACAAACATCCCTGTCTCTCCTCAAGCCTCTCACAGCTTCTCACTTCACTTCTCACAAGCCTTCCCCAACCTTCTCACTTCATACTTTACCCAAAAAAATGAGGCCATTCATTAAAAACATTTGTGTCCCCATCCTGGCTGAGCTGACCCCTGGAACCTCACCTGTTGCTCAGTACTTGGTGGTTCAAAAGATTTTCTATAGTAAATATACTCTGAATTCCAATTTCAAATACATATTCTTGTGAGTACCTCTCCTTCCTAAGAAAAGAGAGTATGAGAACCAAATGGAAGAGATTATCTATCTCATTAAGTCTACTACCTGATTTTTAGACCTGTCCTCAACATAATTTTCTTGCCATTCAGTCATTTTTCAGTTGTACCCAACTCTTTGTCCCCTTTGGAGTTTTTTTGACAAAAATACTGGAGTGATTTGCCATTTCCTTCTCCAGCTCATTTTACAGATGAGAAAAATGAAGCAAACAGGGTTAAGTGACTTGCCCAGGATCACACAGTTCCTAAGTGTCTAAGGTCAGATTTGAACTCATGAGGATGAGTCTTCCTGCCTTCAGGCCCAGCACTTTATCTGCTGCACTACCTAGCTGCACGTAAATATAACAGACACAGGCCTATATTTATTTTCATGGTAGATATTGAATACCTATACGACATTAGACTAGGATATTTCTAACACAGCAATAACTAGAAATTTCTGTACCTGAATCAAATGGTAGTGATTGTTGAGGGTGAAGCAGAAATGAGTAGAATCATCTGTCTATCAGGGGTAGTTAGTGTGTCCTGGTTCACCTTAAGGTTTCTAAGCTGCTGAAGAAGGAATAGGTATTCTGGGATGGGGATGCTATACAGATCACAGGGGGTTGAAGAGTCAGGCGATGAAGTGTACCCCAGGATGGGGCAGTTGGTGCCTTCTAAAAATTTCCGTCTTGGGGCAATAGCTCATAAGCGCCAACCTAGTTATGACTCTGATTTTGAATATCCAATGATAAATGGGACTGTGATCATTACTAGGGGAAAGTCAATATGTTAGCAGCCATATCAGTCATTCCAAATTCCTACATGAAGTACATATAATTTATTTTTATAAGTTTTAATATTTTCCTACTAGTCACTACTACTTACAGTTCGCCTAAATTTTTTAATGAGGAAAAGGTCTTGTCTGGAACAAAGTCAATTCGATTTCTAGGAAGAAACCTGAAAGACAGATCAAGAGTCATTGCTGGTTATTTTTGTATGCTCCCATAATTAGGCCATTCTGTGAGCTGTCATAGATCCAGGATTAATTTAATGCTTCTTTTTGAAGTCCCATGGGGAAGGAAGAAAGCATCTCTTGATATAGAATACAAACAGTGCTGCTGTCTTGTCTCCCACCAAGTGGTGTTTGCTGTGATGAGAACATCCATCATCTTCTCCCCCAGCCAATACTGCTAAATGAAATGTGATTCAATATATGGACTGTGATTGACTAAGGGAGGATGCATTTGAACTTTGAACATTGGTTATTTTGGTAATTGGATCTTTCTCAATGTAAACTCAGAGATTCTCAGAGAGCATAACCGCATAGATAGAGGGACCCTGGGGAAGATACTTTTCTCTGAGAGAAGGCAAGAAAGAACAAAACTGAGCCCACTCACCCCATCCTCTTAGGATATCAGCAAATATTAAATTCTGAGTAACTTGTTTAACATCTTCTGTCTCTCCTACTCCAGTTTTCCTTTCTTAGGTGAAGGAAGGATAATAGGTAAGACATATACCATGTCCTCCCCATTTCATCTTTTCAGGGTAGTAGACGTTATAATTTGCACTTTGTAAGTGGACTGCTCTCTTCTCATGTAAATTTATATTAATGCCATGCAAAATGGCAATGGGGCTCTTTCTATTTTTGCTAGAAAGGAAAGAAAAGGTATTTGGAGAAGTCAAACTGAGTTCAAATCCAGATTCTTTTGCTTACTATCCATGTGACTCTGCACAGGTCATCCCACCTCTTCAAGCTTCACTTTGTGCTCTGTAAATGAGGGGTTGCAATGCATAATGTGAATAGGGCACTCAAAATCAGGAAGCTGTGGGTTCAGGCATCTCCTTAGACATTTCCTAGCTGTGTGACCCTAGGCAAGTCACTTAAGCTTGCTCAACCTCATCTATTACTTGAGGGAGTTGGATTCAGTGGCCTCTAAGAGCCTTTCCAGTATCAAATCAATGATCCTATGATCCTAGATATATATTTTAAAAGTAATACATTTTCTAAATAATTACCACCAAGAAACCAAGCAGAAGCCAGAATGAATTCCCAGTCAATTTGAAGATTATCCTTAATTATTGTCACTGATGATAATAATAATAGCTAGCTTTTATATAATACTTTAAAGTTTGCAAAGCACTTTGCAAAAATGACTTCATTTTACCCTCAAAACAATCCTGGGAGGAAGGTGGTATTATTATCCTCATTTTACCAATGAGAAAACTGAGGCAGAGCTTAAGTGACTTGCCCAGGGTCATACAGCTAGTTAGTATTTGAGACTGGATTTGAAGGCAGGTCGTCCTGACATAAGGTCCATCACTCTATCCATTGTGCCACCCAGCTGCCCATTAATGCTGCAATATGGCCAGTCTGAATAAGATTGTGTGGTGAGGGTTCTTAAGCGGTAGCCATGAAGTTAAGAAAGGGGTTGTTGCCTCAAAGTGGCAAAGTTTCACAGATCAGTTTGGCCAGGTTTGGGGCACAAACATTTGCCACGCCTGCAAGGCTCTCCCTCTTCATTCCTGCCTCTTGGCTTCCTGCAAGATACAGCTCAAGTCCCACTTTCTGCAAGCTGTCTTCCTTGATCCCCTTTATTATTGGTGCCTTCCCTCTAAAATGACTTCCCATTTACCATATATATGGTGATGTAAAAACAATTTTTTTTGGCATATTGTCCTTCCCACTAAAATGTGCATTTCTTGAAGGCAGGATCTTCCCTCCCTCCCTTCTTTGTATCCTCAATGCTTAGCTCAAGGCCTGGCACAAATTAATTAATACTTGTTGACTCACTGACAAAAACAACAGTAAATAGGACCTCATACATAGGTCATTTCATGGCTTACACTTCTAGATCTAAGCTGTAACTGAAATGCTGGGCTTTTTTTTTTTTTTCATTTTTATTCAGTATTCATTCTTGAGTCACAAATAAGTCTGTTAGGTACTTACAAGACTGTGAGCTCATCACATGCCAGAAAGGTGGAATTCATTAGGGACTTAATCTGATTGCCTTCCAAATCCCTGAAAACCAAGAAAACCCACATGTCATATCAAGGAGCAGAGGATCTGATTCTGAGCCCCTGCCAGCCTCTTCCAAGCCCATCCTCACTCCCTCCCTTTCTTCCTGGCCCTCTTCCCAGTTGCTGATGGCGAGGTTAGAGTGATGAGCTCTGTGTCCCCTCTTGATGTTTTGTCCTTGAAGCCAGCATTAGCACTGTATTTCAAGAGCAGAGATTGTTTTCCTCTGAGTGGTTCCACGTGACGACCTTACCCGTCATGTCTTCTTTTAGAGATTCTTCAGTAACACGGTGAAATGACAGGTTAGTGCTCTGAAGAGTTAAGGAATGGATGCCTCCATTTCAGAGGACTCCCTTCTTGCCAGTCATCCAGCAAGCTGTTCACTCAAGGTCTCCTCTACTCCTCCCAGACGTTGGAGAGCCAGCCCCCTCCCACTTAATCCCTTACAGATTTGAAGACGGTTATTATGTTTTCATTTAGCCTGCTCTTCAGACTAAAAGCCTCCAACTCCTTTGTTCTTTCCTTGCAAGACCAATTTGTTCTTCTCTGGGCTCTCTAATTTTTCCACATCATTCCTAAAATGTGTTTAAGATAAACACAGTAATCTCATAAAAGCCTTAGGACCACCAAATACAACAGAAAGCATGTATTCTTATTTCCAGGCGCTGTTACGTCACCTTTCTGGTAACACATGCAAGTGGTAAAGTAGGCTTCTTGACAAAAGCAGGAATTTCAGTCTCATATTAAGCCTGGGTCATCTGCAAATACTGTAGGTCATCTATGGATACTGTACGTCTCTTCTTTCTATTGTTCCTGTTTAGCCAGATGGGGAGGGAGCCGAGGTTACAAGCTTTCAGATCCTCTAGTCATTGTCATAAGGGACTTCTGGTAGGGCATTAGAGTGGTCAGGCAGGTTGGGTCAGTTATCCAGAAACCAGATAAGAGGGCAAGGTAAGGCAGAGCCAAAGGAAGTAAGCATATATCAATTAATCAATCAATCAACCTCTCTCTTTCTCTTTCTCTATTATCTATCTATCCATCTCCATATGTCTATCTCTATCTCTCTATTTCTGTCTCTTTCTCTCTATCTCTATCTTTATATCTATCTCTCTATCTGTATCTATATCTCTATTTCTCTCTATCTCTATCATCTTCTCTATCTTTCTATCTCCATCTGTTTATCTCTGTCTCCATATGTATCTGTATCTATCTCTATCTATTTATCTCTATATCTATCTGCATCTTTCTGTATAACTCTTTTTCAATCTCTCTCTCTCTCTATGTCTCTCTCTATCTCCAGGCACTGTGCTAAGTGTACCGTATCTGAGAAGTGTTTAAGGCAGGGCCAGAGAATGACTCTGAAGGTTGAATGCAAGACAGTTTCCTAGAACATGGAACAGCCAGGAGAACCACTGACAATCGCTGGGGCAAAGACTACCAGCCCTAGGGCGTCTGTTGCTTTCTAAACTGGAGATGCTCAACCCACTACCCTGCCTCACTTGCTCCTAGAAGAATGCCAGTGGCCATTTAGTTCAACTCTTATTTTATAGACAAGGAAACTGAAGCTTTGTCAGTGAGATGAAGTGACTCACCCCAGGTCACATGGATGGTAAGTGGCATAGCTAGATTTGAGGTTCAGTTCATCCTCCTTCCAGGCCCTAGCTTTGAACCCTAGTTTAGCTATCTTGTGTGACTTCAGGCAAGTCACTCCCTACCTCTGGTCCTCAGTTTCATCTGTAAAATGAAGAGGCCAGAGTTAGGTTTTAGAGATGATCAATTTGAAAGACAGACAGCTTGGAAAGGGGAAATGACCGGTAGCTGCTCATGCTTACTGCCATGGATGACTACCAGGGCTCTAAAAGCATGTCAAGGGTTCTCTCGAGGCTGCCTGCATGTTGGCACAGTGTCAGCATCCCCTGGGTATTTGGGGTGAAGTATTTCAAGAGTAGAGTATGAAGTCTGCAGAAAACGGAGTGTGGACAGAGTTAGGGGGTGAGCAACAGTGTTGAGTCAGAGCTTAGAGGTATGAATCAGAGAGAATAGCAGCAGTGAAACAGTGCTGAGTGCGATTGAGTCAGGGTATGCTGAACTATGGATCCTGGACAATTTGTGGGAGAATCTCATTCTGGCTCCCCAGAGGGCTGGGCTTTCCCCTAGGATGGACCTTGATTTAGAAAGATAGGGAACAGTGAAGATAAGGGTCCTATGTGGTAACTAGCCAGGATATCAGGTCACATGAGAAATTGTATATGCCCTCAGGCCTAGTGTCTCCCTAGCTGAAGCGATTATAGTATTTAGGTAGAAAAGAGGAAAGAATCTTATTAGATGTTGTATATCTGAACGGTATGATTCTGCTATGTAGGGGGGAAAAGTGTCCTGGGGAGGGGGTAGTGGTGCAGGGGGCAAGCTGACCCAGATCTTGGACAAAAATTCAGACCAATGTGTGAATGGATCTTTAACAGTTGGATTGGTTGATTTCTGAGGTCCCTTCCCGCTCTTGATACTATGATATTTTAAAAAAGCTCTTATTTGTCTATGACTCTCTGCATATATCTTCCAATTGTTTTTATTTAGTAATTTTTCAGTCACGTCCTCTTTTGTGACCCCTTTTGGGTCTTGGCAAAGATACTGGAGTGGTTTGCCATTTATTTCTCCATCTCATTTTACAGAGGAAGAAACTGAGGCAAACAGGATTAAGTGACTTGCCCAGGGTCACACAGCTAGTGTCTGAGGCAAGATTTGAACTCAGGTCTTCCTGACTCCAGGCCTGTTGCTCCATCTACAGCGTCACTGAGCTGCCCATATCTTTCCATACAGGTCCCTTTTGGGGATGTGGAAGCCTATGCAAGTACCCCATGGACTGAGGTTCTCTCATCATTATTGCCTATTGGGTTTCAGTTTCTGGGCAGAGTTCTGTCTAAATGGCAGAGAGTGAATAAAGAGCTTGGGGGCAGTTAGCAAGTAAAGACTGAGATGAAAGTAGAAATCTAATTCTAGGAAAGGTAATCAAATGAAGGTTGATAAAAATAGATTTGCGTATAGACTGAACTAGAGTTCTTGCAATTGAAAAAGGAGAAAGAGAGAAAACTGTCCACATATATCTGGCATAGTGCCTGGAATATTTGTTGTTTGATTATCTTTCAGTCATGTCTGACTCTTTGTGACACCATTTAGCATCTTCTTGGCAGAGATGCTGGAAAGTTTTACCGTTTCCTTCTCCAGCTCATTTTACAGGTGAAGAACTGAGGCAAACAGGGTTGAGTGACTTGCCCAGGGTCACACAGCTAGTAGGTGTCTGAGGCCAAACTTTAAAGATGAGTCTTTCTGACTCCAGGCCTATTCACTGTGCCACCTAGCTGTCTGCCTGGAATAAAGCAGGGGATTTATCTGTCCCTGTACTCCCAGATACCGTGGGAAGTAGCAGGTACAACATGACAAGAAAAATAGCAGCAGATATGCCCAGGAAGAAGATGTAGCTAGGTGGTGCAGTGGATAGAACACTGGGTCTGGAGTAAGGAAGACCTTGGTTCAAACATGACATTAGACGTTTACTAGCTGTGTGACCCTGAATAAATTACAATCTCGGTTTGCCTTCAATTTCCTCAGCTGTAAAATAGGGATAATAATAGCATCTATCTCTCAGGGTCAAAGAGCTAATATTTATAAAGCATTTAGCAAAGTGCCTGGCACACAGTAGGTACTATATAAATGCTTGTCCCCTCCTCTTCCCCTGATAAAGCTCATGAGTTCAGATTTTTGTTTTTTAGTAATGTTTCCAACTCTTTGTGACCTGATGTGACCTAGGTTTTCTTAGCAAAGATACTGGAGTGGTTTGCAATTTCCTGCTCCAGCTCATTTTACAGATGAGAAAACTGAGGCAAACAGGGTTAAGTGACTTGCTCAGGGTCACACAGCTAGTGAATGAGGTTGGATTTGAACTCAGGTCTTCCTGACTCCAGGACTAGCACTCTATCCACTGTGTCACCTAGCTGCCCTTGAGCTCAGATATCTATATAGAAAAATACAAAGTGAAGGTTAAAATGGTAAGAATTAAAGATCCTAATGCAATGATGCATATTTCATCTTATAGTTATCATTGAGATTTGGTAGGAGAGCACTCATGATCAGACTATATGTCTATGGAAGGATATAACTTATGCAAAAGGAAAAGATTTAGATTTTTTTTTAAAAAAAGGTGATTAAGTAGCATTGTATATTTCTTACTTATATAAGAAAATCCAGGAATCAAAGTGAAAAGCATAGTGGAGACCATTTGGGTGAGGATCAAGAGAGAGAGAGAAGAGAAACCACATTGTCCTGGAAATATACCACCAACCACTAAGTGGAGGAAATAATATAGGTGAGAAATTCAGGAAATGGTTTATAATTTTGGCAGAAAGGGATGCTATAGTAGTGATGAGGAACTTTAACCATCTAGACATCTGCTGTGATTTTCTCTCTGCCAAAAACAGAGTAGTTGATAAATTCTTGACATGCTTATAGTGACAATTTTATTTTTCAAAAGATACAGGAAACAAAAAAGGAAAACATTAATTTTAGAACAATAATGAAGAATTCATCACTAAAGTAGAAATGATGAAAACTTTAGGGCAAAAGAAGCAAACACTACATATTTAGCATTTATGATAGAAAATAAGAGGAAAGCCAGGCATACTTCTATTCACATCCTACCTAGATCTTAGGAAAGAAGGTCAGAGAAAGGAGTGATTAAGTTCCATGGCCAAAATTCTATAAGGATAGTTGGATAATAGAGGGATAAGAAACTTCCATAAATGTGTCATCAAAGGTATGAGTTGCCTCTCTACATGTATTCCCTAAAGGTATATCTCTCCATTTGTCCACCTTGGTCACGTTAATTCCTTGTGTGTAACTTTTCTTGTGTGTTTACTATGTGTGTCCATTCTTCCCACTGATATTGTGTATACCTGTGGGTACACCCTAGGTTTATGGTGTGTGAGGGATATTCTGTTGTTATTTTTCTTACCACATTAAATGCTTTTGTTTTGAACTGATTGTGTCTCTGGCTAACTAATAAAGGTAAACACATTGATGGCGGCTCGTCAGCTATTCTTTTAGAGGATGAAGACTCTTAAGGAACCTTAAGTCTAGCTGTCTACTGGAAGATAATGTGAATTGTGTGTTTGCAGGTGAAATGAGGAGCTACACTGTGAAACTCATTCAGGATCTTCATTTTGGATGCTCTGGTACCATGAGGAACAACTGGATGAAAAATGAGCATTTTTCCCTCCCCCACAGGATATAATTAGTCAATTTAAATGAAATGCTGAAACTAAGAAGATGAAATTAAAATTAATATTAAAATGCCCAAACTAAGAAGATGAAATTAAAATTAATATTAAAGTAAAATCCCTCAGAGGTTAAAATAAACCACCTTCATAAGTATAAGATGGAAATAGTATGGCTAAACAACAATTTATTGTGAAAAAAGACTTGGAGTTTTAAAAGACTAAAATTTCAATGTGAGTCAACATTGAACTAAGGCAGCCAAAAAATAATTCCAACCCAGGCTTATAGTTTTCCAGAATAAAGGAAGTCATATCTTGCAATTCTCTACTATGGTCAGAATATACCCAGAGCATTATGTTTGATTCTTGGAACCATATTTTAGGAAGGAAGTGGATAACCTGGAAATAACCCAGAGGAGGGAGACCAGGAAAATAAAGGCAATAGAAATCATGGTAGATGTTGTCTATTTCCAAAGATAATTAGGGTAAAAGGAAAAGATCCAATATGTTCTAAAATATTTATAGCAGCTTTTTTGTGGTGGCAAAAAACTGGAAAATACAATGCCCATCAATTAGGGAATGGCTGAACAAGTTGTGGTATGCGATTATGATGCAATACTATTGTGTTATAAGAAGTGATAAGCTGAATAATTATAGAAAAATATGGAATGACTTGCATGAAATAATGAAGAGCAAAATGAGCAGAACCAAGAGAACATTGTATACAATAACAGCAGCGTTGTTTTAAGAGCAACTTTGAGTGAATAAGTTATTTTGACTATTAAAAATACCCAAATTAACTATGGACATATGAAGAAAGATGTTATCTGCATCCAGAGAAAGAACTGATAAATAGAAGCATAAATATATATATTGAATAATTATATATATATATATATAAATACAAAGTGAAGGTTAAAAATGGGAAGAATTAGAGATCCTAATGCAACGATGCATATTTCATCTTATAGGTATCATTGAGATTTTGTCATTTTGTGTCTAATGGTAGCTATCTCTAGGGTGAGGCAGGAGTTGGGGAGGAGGGAAAAAAAAAGAAATTTACATGATAACTTTGTTGTATATTTGAAAGGAATAGCAAATTGTGCATATTAGACTTGCAATTTCATGTACAATCATCTTTTTTATTGTAGTATGTTTGGAAATGTTTGTTTTGTTCCATAAATTAAAAGAAAATAAAAAAAAGAAAATGACTGCCAAGCAAGGGGAACTAGACATTCTGTGTGTCCTTCAAATGGAGAACTAGGAGCAATGGGTGAACATTGAAAAGAAGCAGATTTTAGCCTGATGTAAGGAAAACCTTCCTGACAATTAGAACTGTCCAAAGTAGAATGGACTGGGGTAGCTAGGTGGTGCAGTGGATAGAGCACTGGCCCTGGAGTCAGGAGGACCTGAGTTCAAATCTAGCATCAGATACATAACACTTACTAGCTGTGTGACCCTGGGCAAGTCACTTACCCCCATTGCCTAGTCAAACCCCTTCCAAAAAAACCCCAAAACAATGTAGAATGGACTACCACTCTAAGTAGGGTGTTCTCCCTTAGTGGAAATCTTCTATCAAAGGCTAGATGAAAACTCAGCAGGTATTTTGTAGAAAACAGTGGACTTGATGGCTACTGAAATTCTGGAATTCTGTGATCTTTACCTTCCTCTCTGTTTTTCCTTTGCATGGAGTTGGAGAGCAAGGTCAGAAGGTCCTTTAGTCATAACCTCATAGATATAGTGCTTGAGATCGTCTAGTCTAATCACATAATTTTACAATACAGGAAACTGGGAGCTTGTGACTTGCCCAAGGACACACAGGTAGATAGCCAGTTCTTCCTATTCTGTTTTTGTGTGTGTGTGTGTGTCTAAGTTTCATTTTTCTTTTCTCAACTGAATGGAAAGTTACAACAGTAGGAACAACACTGGAATATGGCTCATTTACAATCCACATAATGGTTTTTGTCAAAGCAAGTGATTGAAACAGAAAGTAGAGATGAAAAACTAAATGACATATTTGAGAATATCTTATTGGATAGATATGCAAAAAGAGCAGCAATAAAACTTTTTTTAAATGTGAAGAAGAAAAAAATGTAAGTATAGAAAGTAATACTAGCAATTTTATTATTACCTTGATCAGTTTTATATATTACCTTCTTAAACAAAGTCACAGAATTTTACAACACAATTTTTCTCCTCTTGCTTGTTTTTGTTATATTGAAATGTTTCTATTTCATGAGTAAGTTCACAAAAAATTAAAAAAAAAACCTTAGGGGGGCTAGGTCACTCAGTGGATGGAGCATTAGGTCTGGAGTCAGGAAGACCTAAGTTCAAATCTGGCCTTAGACATTTACTAGCTGTGTGACCCTAACTAACGGTTTGTCCCAGTTTCCTCATGTGTAAAATGAGCTGGAGAAGGAAATGTCAAACTACTCTAGTTTCTTTGCCAAGAAAACCCCAAATGAGGTCATGAAGAGTAGAACACAATTAATCGACTAGACGATGACAACAAAATGATCATGATTTCTGAGTTAAGATTTAGCTATTACTAATGTATTTGCAGGTTTACTTTTTGTTCAAACTTTGTTGTTGTAAAGATAAAATCTTCATCACTTCAGCTCTGATTTATTCATCTGAATGAATAAGCAATTAGAACTTTACTGTAATGGTTACTTACATCCAATTAAGATGAGGCATGTAGTTACACATCTCCTCGGGGAGGGCTTCCAAGTGGTTATTGATCATAGACCTTTATAAAAGGAAAATATTAATTAGAAATAAAATTTGATATCCTCAAACAAAACAAAACCCTGATCTAGCTGAGAAGTTTTGTTGGTCTTATCATTCTGACATCTGGTGACTTAAAGAGCCTCTTTTTTTTTTTCAAAGGACTGGAAGTATGATATATTTAACTATGTGGGACACTTTGGGTGTTAAAAACTCCTTCCACCCATATGAATCAGAAACTCAGAGAATATTGTTGAGTAACCTGAAGGCACTGTTAGGTTAAATTGTCAGTCAGTCCATCAATAAACATTTATTAAGCACTTATGGTATGGCAAGGGGGCAGCTTGGTGATACAGTGGATAAAGTAAACAGCCTGAAGTCAGGAAGACTCATCTTCCTGAGTTCATATCTGGTCTCAGAGACTTACTAGCAGTATGACCTTGGGTAAGTCACTTAACTCTGTTTGCCTTCAGTTTCTTCCTCTGTAAAATGAGCTAGAGAAGGAAATGGCAAACCACTCTAGTATCATTGCCAAATAGGGTCACAAAGAGTTGGGCATGACTGAAGATGACTGAACAAGTATATGTCCAGCATTTTGCAAAACATTGGGCATACATGAAGGCAAAAGACAGTCACTGCCCCCAAGGGGCTCATAGTCTAACAAGGGAGGCAACAGAAAACCAGTATGTACAAATAAACTATTTACAGGATAAATAGTAAATAATTAAAAGAGGGAAGATGCTAGAAGTCAGAAGAGTTGGGAAAGGCTTCCTGCAGAAGATGAGATTTTAGTTGAGACTTAAAGGAAGCCAGGGAAACCAGTAGGTAAAGATGAGGAGGGAGAGTATTCTAGTCATGGGAGACAGCCAGAAAAAATGCCCAGAGTTGAGGGATGTAGTGTATTGTTCATGGAAGAGCAAGGAGGCCAATGTCACCGAATCAAAGAGTATGTGGTGGGAGTTAAGTATAAGAAGATTAGAAAAGTATGGGTAAGGGCTAGGTTATGAAGGGTTTTGAAAACCAAACAGACGATTTTGTATTTGATGCCGGAGGTGATAGGGAATACTGGAAGTTATTGAGTAGTGGAGTGACATGGTTGGATCTGTGCTTTAGCAGAATCACTTTAGTAGCTGAATGGAGGATGGATTAGAGTGGGGGGAGAACTGAAGCATACCGACTCATCAACAGGTTATTGCAATAGCCAAGACTGAGGTGATTTGGGTCCACACTAGGGTGGTGACAATGAAATCAACAGACTTTGGCAATATATTGGATTGGGGGTGGTGGTGTGAAAGGTCATGAGGAGTCAGGAATAACACTTGGGCTACAAGCCTGAGGGGCTGGAAGGATGGTGTTACCCTTGAAAGTAATAGGGAAATTAGGAAGGGGGTGAGGGATGATTTAAGGGGAAAGATAATGAGTTCAGTTTTGGATGTGTTGAGTTTAAGATGTCTACTAGACATCCAGTTTGAGATGTCTGAAAGGCATTTGGAGATGGAAGATCAGAGGTCAGCAGAGAAGCTAGATTAGGATGGGCAGATCTGAAAATCATTAGCATAGAGCTAGTAATTAAATTCATGGGAACTAGTAAGATCACCAAGTGAATTAGAATAGAGGGAGAAGAAAAGAGGGCTCAGAACAGAACCCTGTGGGACACCTACAATTAAAGGATACGACCTGGATGAGGATCCAGTCTGGGAAGGAGCAGTCAGATAGGCAGGAAGAAAACTAGGAGAGAGTGGTAACCTGAAAATCTAGAGAGAAGTGAGTATCAAGAAGAGAGTAATCAATGTCAAAGGCTACAAAGAGGCCAAGAAGAATGAGGACTGAGAAAAGGCCGTCGGGTTTGGCAATTAAGAGATCATCGATAACTTGGAAGAGAAAAGTTTTGGTGGAATAATGAGGTTGGGAGCTTTCTTAAGGAAGTAAGAAGAGAGTAAGGGGAGAGAAAGTGGAGGCACCTATTGTAAATGACCTTTTAGTTTAGCTACAAAGGACGAAAGAGACACAGGATGATAGCAGGGTTAGAAGGATCAAGAGAGGGTTTTTTTTTGAGGATGGCCCATACATGGGCATGTATATATGTAATAGGGAGGCAGTTAGTAGACAGGGAGACATTAAATATAAATAACAGAGTGGGGATGACAGAGGGGGAAATCTGTTAGAGGAGACAAGATGGAATAGGATCCCTTGTGTTAGTAGGGAGTTGGAGAACTTTGGTAAGGAGTGAGACCATCTGTTTGTGTGAGATAAGGGTGAAGGAGGACATAGTGGCAAAAGTCATCTGAGTGATATTAGATGAGGAAGAGGGAGAAGATGGAGCTCTCAGCAAATGGCCTCAATTTTTTTCCTGTAAAATATGAGGCAAAGTTCTTAGCTGAGAGAGTAGGGAGAGGAAAAACAATGGGAAGTTTGAGGAGGTATGAAAGGGTTTGGAAGGACAGCGGGATAGTAAGCTGATAAGTGAAGTGTAGAAGTATTACGTAGAAGCAGTGAGGACCCAATTGAGGTTATGTAACATTATTTTGTAATATATTCAGTCAAAATGGTCGTGTGATTTTCTCTACCTTTGTTTAGCAGTAAAGGCTGCAAATGGTGGGAATGATCCAAAGTTGAGGCTCGATAGGGCACAATTAGTAATATGATAAGGGGTCCAGGGATTCAAGAGGACAATGTACACTTGAAATGACCAAGGGGTCAAAACAGAGAAAGGGGAAGGGAAAGGAAAGGAATAGGAAATCTATTAAGTACTTAATTGTGAGGCACAAAGCTAAGCATTTTATAAACATAATCTGATTTTATCCTCACAACAAACCTGAGAGGCAGGTATTATGATTACCCTTACATTACAATTGAGGAAACTGAGGATGACAGTGGTTAAGTGACTTGCTCAGGGTCAGATAGCTAGTAAAAATCTGATCTAGATTTGAACTTAGGTCTTCCTGACTCCAGACCCAGTGCTCTATCACTGTGCCTCGCAGATGTCTCAAAGGAAGGAAAGAAAGGAGAAGAGGAGAGAGTAACTAATACAGTGGATGTGACCTGAGAGAGAACTGAGGGGTTGAGGAATTGGAAGATCATGGTGTGGAGGAAGAGAGAGGTTTATTAAGGGAAGAGACAGGCAGTAGCAAAGGTGGAAAGTTAATAAATTATGGTCAGAGAAGGGGATTTTGAGATTTTTGAACATGGTGGTAGTGTGTTTGTGAGTGATGGAAAAGTCAAGGATATAACCATCTGTGTATGTGGCTGATGTGTTCAGTGAGTAGACTGAGAAACTGAGTGGTTAGGATGTTTGAGGGAGAGTCAATATGTACACTAAAGTCCCATAGTGTAAGGGCAGGAGATGTGGAGGGAAGAAAAATTATGAGCTGGGTACCAAACTCATTGAGGCAGTAAGGAGAAAGACCTGGGGAACTGTATACAATAACTACTAGAATTTTGATTAGGTGGTAATATGAATTGCATGAACTTCAGAGGAATAGAGGTTTCTGAGAGATAGAGGTAAAGAAAGAACCTGAAAGTGGCAATGGGGACTAAGGGGTATTCCAACTCCTCCACTTTGACTTAGGGAAATGAGTGAGTGAAGGTGCAGCCAGTATTGGTAAGCATGGCCATGGAGGTTGTATCATCAGGGGAATCAGGTTTTGGTGATAACAAGAATATGGAAGGAGTGGGAGAGGAGAGGAAAAGATTTAGGAGGAAGGGAAATTTGTTGCCTATGGAGCAGGCATTCCAGAGAGCACAGTGAAAGGAATAGGTGGAATTTGGTTGGGACTTTGGGGTGGGAGGGTTGAAAGGGATGGGAATAAGGAATTGAGTGATGGGGGATGGGGAATAGGGTTTGGATAATGATCTACAGAGGTTCAGAATCACTTGAGTATGTAAGGTATGACAGGTATGAGGATGTTCATCACTGAGTGGAAGGAATTGTTTCTCTTCTCAGAGGAAGCTGGAGATGAGGCTGGAAACAAGTACAACATGTGATGAAAGGCACATGGTCAGTTATCAGATGGGAGGTCCCATTTCCCTACTTCTCCGAAGGCTAGAGATTAGTAAGAGACAGCAGAACAGGAGATGGAAGTCCTGCTCTCCACCAACTTCCCTCTTTTCTCCTGAGGGGACATGTGAGGCAGCAGGAGAAGGCACAGGGTTAATGAAAAAGTCTCATTTCTCTTCTCATCTGAGGCTGGAGATCAGGTGGGTGCAGAAAAAGGTAGAAATCTTGCCAGCAGGTCTTGTGGGTGCAGATTGAAGTCCATACCTGGTCCCTGTAGGAGCCTTATCTCAGGGTCATATGTAGCAGGAGTCGGACAGCTAATATATGCCGGATGTAAGACTTAGACCCAGGTCTTCTCTGTGCCTGGGCCAGCTCTCAAACTCCTAGCTAATGGTGCCTTTCAAAGTTCTTTTAGGATAAGAAAATATTTTTTTTTCAAACTGTTCTCTATCTGGTAACGAAAAAAGAGAACCAGACTTTGGAAAAGAAACTAAGAATGGGTAAATATGAATATGATAACCTCAGTCAAAATGCCATCTTGTTCAGTTTTGTGAAATGAAATTAATTACATATATACATATATAAGCATGTATATGCATGTATACATCTGATCATATATGTAGCAATAATTTTAAGGTATACATAACTCCAAATGATAATTTTCCTTATTGTTATAATTATGAAAACATACACTCAACATAGCAAAGGAATACTTAATTTCCAAGGATTTGGGAACTCTGCTGGGAGTGGCATTCAGTCTGAAGTGCTGCAGAGAGAAGGATGTAAAGAAAATCATCTCTCATGCAGGTTAAGATGGAGGGTCTGGTTCATAATACTGCAGCACTCACTTTGACATGTAAAAAAATGATACTGTAATTCCTACAGCAAAGAAACCTATTTGTTTTTACTAGTAATCCATTCCTGTGCATTAATAAACACTGGGAAAAGTGCAGTTATCAGCAAGGTTTTTTTTTTTAAAAGACAAAAGGTGTTGTATTTTTCCTGGATGTGTAGTGGAAAGAACATTGGGCTTAGAATTGAGAGACCTGAGTTCTGGTCCAGTCTTTGTCAAAGACTTACTATAAAACTAAAACTCAGTAAAGGTAAGTGATTTGCCCTGAGGCACGCAGTGGATGAATGAAAATGAAAATGCAAATTACATTTTTCAGTGTTTAGGGATTCAGGGGTGTGCTGGAACCAGATTTTTAGTGGGATCATTAGTCCTTGAAAACTGACAAGTGCTACAAATCAGGGCTTGATTTAATGTTTTGTTGATTGTGTGGACTTAAGAAAGTGATGGAGAAAATAGCAATAATGCAGAGTAAACTTAAAAGTATGCCATGCATACATTTCCGCTCCCCCAGACATCTGGTTGTTAAACATTTACCAACACATCCTTGACTATAGGTACTATCTACCTATTAGCACTGTTGGGAGGAAAATGCTTTGTTTAAAGTGATTTGTGGAGATTATTTTCTGACTTGTTTTCTTTGTGCCTATGGAGAAAAAAAAAATGTGTTGGAGCCAAGATCCTGTCAGATTTAAGCACTAAGTATGTGAAAAATGGACACTAGCTTGGTAGCCAACAAAAATAAAAGTATACCTTAAACCAAAATCAAATCAAAGTGAATAGAAAGAATATCAGTCATCAGGCTTGGGAGGAAAACAATACACCCCTTCGGAGTTTGATTACCTTTATGGGGTGGTCAGGAGGGTGTCATCAGCAAAGCATATAAAATCACTATACATTTTGTGAATTATGGACATTTAAATGAAAATGTTATTGAACCTCTTTGTATGTTTGAATTAGGTACTACTAAACAGATGGAGAAATGAATTTGTACTTACAAGAAAAACAAAGAATCTAATCCAGTAAATAACTGCTGTGAAATTCTGGTTATTGGGTTGTCATCTAGAATTCTGACAAAAAACATAATTAAGAAGTTTCAGTGTTAACAGTACTTGTAAACTATAGAAAAAATAGTATCAGAAAATAATTCTTAGCAAGGGACAGATGATTCTTTTACTTCTTAAGTGTTGAACTAAAATTATATTTTATTTAGGATTTATGCCCTACCTACTTGCAAAAAAGGGGTTTAATATCACTTGAGAAGCATGACCATTAAAAATAAAAAATGTAGAAAGGATCAGAGAAACAGATGGTGTTAGGCCTGAGATGAACTAATTACCCTCCTAAATTTTGTTCTGAGCTTCCAAGGTAGCTAATATAAGAGTGGAAACATATTGGTAGAAGTACGTTTTTTTTTCTCACAGGTTGTACAAGCAAATGTCAGATAAGATGTTATACAACTTCTACATAATTTGCAGGGGTGGGTATGGGAGGAAAAACAAAAGAATTGAACTCATGTTCACATTGTATGAGAAACCTCTAGTGTTCGTCCCTCTGCTTTTAACCATACTGTCATTTCACCCTCCTTAGAAGACAAGAATCCAATCTCTCTTTCTCTGGTACTGATGGACTAATATAAAGTTGTTTTGGTAGTAGGTCATATTTTGAAGAAACTAAAATCAGAGGTCCATGAGAAAGGTAAATTGAAATTGAAAAGGTAAATGAAAATAAAACATTGTTTTGGTACTAGGTCACATTTTAAAGAAAACAAAATCAGAGGTCAGTGAGATCAGTGAGAAAGCTCAACTGAAGTGAGGAAATCCTCAAGCCCCAACCCTTTTTCTAGTCATGATAATGACAGAGCTAAAAACTTGGGGGTAGTGCCAGGGGAACAGATATTAGTTGTGAGGCTGCACCGTGTTGATAGAGGTAGAGCCAGAAAAATGGTTCCTATGATAATAAGTACAGTTCAATTCAGAATAATTCAACAAATATTTATTAAAAACATAATGTGCAAGGCACTGTGATAGATGTTGGGAGTACCAAGACAAAAATAAGATAGTCCTTGCCTTCAAGGAGCTTACACTCAACCCAAGAGAGTTTACATCCTACTGAACATGCATTTTCTATATTACATTCTACTTACAGTACAGTTAGGTAAAGACAAAGTAATTTGAGGAGGGAGAGATCAGTAACAACAACTGAGAGACTATGAAAAAATCAGGGAATCCCTTATTTTTCAGGGCCTAAGCAAGTCATCCCTGATTTCTGGATATAGCTATCACGTGCCAATGTGGATATCTTCTTCACCCACCTTCACTTCCTCTATTAGAATGTAAGCTTCTTGAGAAAAAGGACTATCTTTTTCCTTGGATTTGTATCCCTAGTAATTAGCACAGTGCTTGGCACCTGGTAAGTGATTAATAAATATTTGTTGATGTGACTTTGTAGAAGCAGTCTAGGTTATATGGTAATATGGTACCAAATGAAAAATGAATAAAATTACAACAGAAACAATCCAAAGCCACATAATGGGAATTCTCTAGAAATAGTATTTATAGGGGAAATATGAATTGGGATACTTACAGCCATGATAACTCATGCAAATCTTTAAACACTCCAGGTCTGAGACTGGTAATACAATTGTGACTGAGATACCTATAAACAGAACAACATGGAAGTCAATTGGACCCAAGCTGTTTTGTCGTTTGTGTTAGAATATATGCTACTTAGGGTGGTTACTTTGTACCTATATAGCTATCACTGAAAAGTCCATGTTGACAGTGCTCTGTGTATAACAGGCTGTTGATAAGAGTTTTGTTGGATTGAACTGAATTGAACAAAAGATGAAAAAAAAAGAAGGGATAGGGAGTTACAGAAAACCACTCGTTGAATATGAGTCATTATTCTAGTGCCTTCCCTTCGAGATAATCTTCATATTATCCTGCATATATCTTGTTCTTACACAGTTGTTTACATACTCTTTGCCCCATCAGACTGTGAGCTCCTTGAGGGCAGGGACTGTCTTTTGCCTTTCATTGTATCCCCAGAGTTTAGCATTCTTCCTGGCACATATTAGGCACTTAACAAATCTCGTTATCTTAACTTGAACTTGTAGCAGTACTAAAAAAAATAAGGTGGGGGTAAATATGTTGCATCAGAATATAGTGTGTCATTTGTCCTTCGTTTTGAAGAATACCAATGACATCAAAGGTAATGTCTTGACTAGTAAGTGAATTGGATTTAAGTGAGGCAGAGTTGTACAGAGTTGTCAGCCTCACCCTCTCTTCCAGAGTCATCAAAATCCAGTAGCAAGATAAAAGTCAGAACCCCTGGGGGATCCTGGATGGAGTGAATGACCTTGTCATCTTCCCTTCCTGACCAAGTTCTAAGTGTTCAACAGCGCCTACCTCAGCTGCCTTCATGACTATTGGAACAAACCATTCTCATCTGCCCATTCCTCCAGGAGAAGTTTTCATGTGCTTGCGTAGACATCCCTCTAACTCACTGACGGGTTTGAGGTCTGTTGGTTACCCTCAATCTGGTTTACCCTGTCTGCCAAGATTGGGTATGGCCACAGGTGAGAATTGGGTGAAAGGTAGACACCGAAGGTGGATCAGCAGCCCTGAGAAGGGCTCAGCAAGCCCTCACACTGGAGTTGCTGGTCCTCCTGAACACTCTGTACTCTTCTTGGAAATTAATAGCACGAGTACAAGTTCAAGAGTTACAAAGTGATCCTTCCGCTATATCTCACTCTAGTTCCATCCTTACTAGTATATCTAGTCAAGATCCCTGCATTTTAAGAAAGAGTGCTGATGACCTAAAGTAGGCCTCGAATAGAGCAATAAAAATTATTATAACATTGGGTAATTGGTCCAAAGAGGCAAGGTTAAAGGAGTTTTGGCTATTTAACCTAAAAATAGGAAGGTTCAGAGGAGATTTTAACTTCATCCGTGAAAATTGAAGTCCTTTATTTTTCATGCTTAGTGGCTAAGTAATTTGTGGTATGATCTTTTGCCAGATATTTTTCTATTATCTAGTATCTCTGTCTGTCTGTCTCTCTTTCTCTTTGTATCTTTCTCTGTGTGTGTGTGCGAGCATACATTTATATCTATTTGTATATATTTAACATATCTCTAGTCTTCCTTTTTAATTAAGATGATATATAGAATGTGCTAAAAAGTTACTTACAGTATTTGAAGCTTGTACAGTCCGAAAAAAGCTTTCCTGGATACATATTTAATACAGTTATACTGTAAGAATCTGGTAAGGATAAGACAAAATAGCACTGTCGTTATGTTTCATATGCTATATTTAAAATGTCTTTAAAATGTTGCTGTGAAAAAAGCACATTATAAATGTTAAATCACAAGTGTAAGTTGTTAGGATATCAGTTCTGAAAAAAAATGTTCAACTTAGCATCAAGAAATGTGCATTCAAACCCTTTTTCTGACACTAGGCCTATGATCATGGGCAAGTCTTTCAATCTCTTCTAGCACCAGTTTCTTCATCTGTTTAAAAGAAAGGCTAATAATATCAGCCTTACCTTTCTCACAGAGTTGTTTTGAGCAAAGCACTTTGAAATTTCAAAGTGTTATATAGACATGAGTTATTTTTATTTTTCTTCTGGCCAGAACTGTGGTGACCTAGCATTAACTTTCCCAGGAGGTCTTATGTAAAAATGACCCATATGCTGCTTGAACTCCTTGCTGCACTATTAGGAAGACAAAGTTGTGGTGCCTTAATGCTGCTCTTTGGCTCTGCCCAGTCAGATCTCACAAATTAAACTATTCAAGAGAAGCAAGGAGGGTGTAGTGGAAAGAGCTCTAGAATTGAAGGCAGGAAACCTGGGTTCAAGTCTTGGCTTTGCCACTGATTAGCTATGTGATTTTGGTCAAATCATTTATCCTTTCTGGACCTTATTTTCCGCATTTGTAACATGCTGGGGTCAGCCTAGATGTTCTCTAAGGTTCCTTTCTGCTCTGGCATTCTGTTATTCTGTGAAAGCTTCCCGAGCCACCCAAAAAAAGAAACACACACACACACACACAAACACACCCACATGCAGGAAATGCTTACAAATATTGTTGGACAGTGACGACAGTACATTGGAAATACTTTTCTAATTGGGACAGGCTGTCCAAATGAGCAAAAACAGTAATAAATTAGGTGTGTGACAATCGATCAGTACTATTATTCATTAAGTAGTACTATGTGCTAGGCACTGTGCTAAATACTGGGATTATAAAGAAAAAAACACAAAAAAACTACCCCTGCCCTCAAGAGGATTATATTCTAATAGAGGCAATGCGCATATAAATAGGTACATAAATGATATAAGGTAACCTTAGAGACAAAGGCACCAGAAGCTGAGGGGATTGAAAAGGGCCTCTTGCAGAAAGCAGCATTTGAGGCCGGGGTGAGCATTGTAGGTGTGGAGAACAGACAGTGTAAAGGCACTGAGATGGGAAATGCAGCATCTTGAGTGAGAAGGGAAAGTAGAACAAAAAGTATATGGACTATACAGTGGGTGGAGGGAAAAAGACAAGAAATACAGGAAAGAACCATGTGGGAAGGGCTCTGCATACCAAACAGAGGGCTTCATGTTTACCAAAGAATAAATCGCCTTTTGGTTGGTGTCCCAAGTCTGTGCCCACCCCCGTCTATCTTCCACCGAGCTGTCAAATTGATCTGTTCATGTTCTTCTCTCCTTCTACCCTCAGTACAATAAACTCCAGTCCTCCCTATTACCTCCAGGATCAAATATGAAATACTATTTCACATTCACAGCCCTCTATAGTCTGCCCCCTCCAACCCTTCCAGTCTTTTTACACCTTACTCTCCCACCACGTCCATGATCCAGTGACACTGGCTTCTTTGCTATTCCTCACACATGACACTCCATCTCCTTACTGCACATTTTCTCTGGTCTTCCCCCATGCCCAGAACTCCCTCTTTCCTTATCTTTGCTTCCTGGCTTCCCTGGCTTCCTTTACATCCTAGCTAAAATTTCACCTGCTGCAGAAAGCCAATCCACCTTTAGTCTAATGCCTTCCCACTGTTGATTTTTTCCAATTTATTCTGCAAAAATTTTATTTGTATAAAGTTGTTTGCATATTGTCTGCCGCATTAGACTTTGAGCTCCTTGAAAGCAGGAACTGTCATTTTGTCTTTCTTTTTATCCCAGCACTTAGTACAGTGCCGGGCATTAATGAATGCTTGTTGAATGACTAACTAGTTATTAGAGAGCCACTGGAGTTTCCTGAATAAATGTGGGAAGAGAGTGGTATGCCATGGCCTGACATGAGTTTTAGGAAAATATGGTGGGTTGGTGACAATAGTACATTGGAAAGACTTGTTCCTGCTAAGCCATCCTGCTGAGAACTTGTATATAGCACATTTACATTTCGGAGCTCTTATATATGAAATATCAAATTTCTCTTCTTATCACTATGAAGGAACAATGAGTATTATTATTCCTGTTCTTATAGACGAAGCACTTAAAACACGCAAAAATTAAATGAATTGTTCAAAGTCATGCAGTGAACAGTGACTGGGCTAGGAATGGAACTCCTGATTCTGAATCTTAGGTTCTATCTTAAACCTAATCACTCAACAATGGACAATTGCCAAAATAATAGTTTGGCTAAGATTACTGAACAAATGATTTCAACTCGCATGCAAAGTTGTATATTATAACCATCTGTGTTTTTGTCACATTCCTTTACCAGTCTGAAAGATCCATGAAGGTGGGGACTATGTCTTATCTAAACCTTGAAGCTCCCTGAGTGTATAAAGAACAATACTCTTTATACACTGATGCTCAATGAATATTCGGTGAATTGAATTGGATTCCTGAGCATCCATCGAATGTGAGGTTAGCATTTAGGCCCTGGGAATCTCTTTTAAGCTATTGAATACAGGTAAGTAAATGCTTGAATGCTTAGAATAGCCTTGGGGTTGCTCCACAGAGCTTCTCTCTCTGTGCCTACTCTGTACTTCATACCTGATGCTATCCCTTCATTCAAGTGCTGAGCACATTGGGAATATCAAAACCCAGAGAATTTTCTAATGAGAAGCTGCTTTGCCTGTGTTGGAACTCTAGGCAAATCAAAGCTATTTTAGGCAGAGTCTATTAAGGGCAGATGTGACCTTGACCCCTTATTATATTGTGGATTTTTTGTATGGCTGCCAGATATTCTTCTTTGATTTTATTTGCCCCAGCCCCTCAAATATTATTTGATGATTTTTCTCTCCAGTACTACAATACCAGGACAACTAGGTGGTGCAGTGGATAGAGTATTGGGCCTGGAGTAAGGAAGACTTTATGGGTTCAAATTTGGCCTTAGACACTTACTAGCTCTATGACCCTGGGCAAGTTGCTTAACCCTGTCTGCCTCAGTTCCTCATCTGTAAAATGAGTTGGAGAAGGTAATGGCGAACCACTCCAGTATCTTTGCCAAGAAAACTCCAAAATGGGGTCACAAAGAGTCAGACATGACTGAACAACAACAGCAACCCTGAACTGAGAACCACTGGTCAAGTAAAATCTCTTAGAAAGAAGCTCATTGTAGCTGGGACTTGGTTATATGGTGGGTTGATCACTGTTTTCATAACATTATAAAGTATAGCATTTCTAATAGTACAGAGAAAACCTTGTTCTCTCTTCATCTGCACTATCAACCCTAGTCAGCGTTAGAGTGAGATACTAATATTATCTCAGAACCACAGAATTTGAGGGTCAGAAGGGACCATCTAGCACAATCCATATGAGAGCGGAAAACCCACTAAAACATACCCAACAAACAGGCATCCAGATTGCGCTTGAAGACTTCCATGAAGAAGAACCCACCATCTCAAGGCAGCCCTTCCACTTTGGGATGATTGCAATTGTTATAAAATTTTCTTGGCATCAAGTCTAAATGGGTCTCTCTGCAATTTCTACTCATTTCTCTTAGCTTTGCTAGTTGGGGTCAAATAGAGTGATTATAATTCCTTTTCTGCATGATATCCCTTTAATGCTTGAAGATAGTTATCAGACCCCTTCTGGGTCTTTTCTTTCCCAGGCTAACCATCTCTAATGCCTTCAGTCAATCTTCATATGACTGATTCTGGTTGCCCTCCTTTGGAAATTTCCTTCTTATCCAGTGGTGGCCTGAAATGAACATAATACTCCAGATGAGTTCTGATGAGGGCAGAGTAAAGTGACCTTTTCGCCTTTCTATTCTGAGAAGCTCTGGCCCTCTTCATGAAGCCCAAGAATGCATTGCCTTTTTTTGACTGCTATATAACATTGCTGACCTACATTGAGCTAAATATTTGCTAAAATCCCCAGAGCTTTTCCAGAACTGCTAACTATACTTCACATATTATACATGTGAAGATAAAGTTTTTGTACTCAAGTACAGCAAAGTGATGCAAAGCGAGACTTTGCATTCATCTCTTTCGACTTTCATCTTATTAGATTCAGCCCGCTCAAGATCCTGTTGGGAACTGACTCCATGATACACTGTGCTAACTGTCCCTTGTAGCTTCGTGTCATCTGCTAATTTGGTAAGCATAACATCGTGGTTTATCAAATCATCAATAATAATGTTAACAGCACAAAGACAAGGGCAGACCCCTGGGGTACCCCACTGAGTCCTCCCACCATATTGATATTGCACCATTAACTCCTTGAGTCCGGCTATCTAACCAGTTTGGAATCCATCTGATTGTATTGTTATCTAATCTATTTCTCTCAATTTTCTTCTTGAAAATAGCATGAGATTGTTTATCAAATGTTTTGCTAAAACTTGGGTGAGCTACATCCACTGCATTCCCCTCATCTGCTAGTTTAGCAATCCTATCCTGTCAGAAAAGGAAATGAAGCCAACTTGGCATGACCTGTTGTTGACAAAACCATGTTAGCTCTGTATAATTACCCATTCTATATATAGATGTTTACCAACTATCTTTTTAATAATCTCTTCTAAAATTTAGTTTGCAGACTCTATTCTCTTCCTTTTTTTTGAAAATTAGGATGTTGTCCCTTCTCCAAACTTGTGGTATCTCTTCCATTCCCATGATTTTTCAGACATCACCATCAGTGGCTCAACCATCACACCTGCTGGTTCTTTCAGGCCCTAAGGATGTAGCTCCCCTGGGCCAAGTGTCTCAAATTCATCACGGGCAGTGGCTGGGTGCCCTCTTTTATCTCCTTACTTATCTTGGGTCTCATTCCCAGTTAGTTATCTTTGTTCTGTCATTTCCAGTTCAAAGGT